GTGCCTGTTTGTGTATGTATGTGTGTACAGATTAGATAGATACATAGATAGATGTGTAGATAGTTAGAGATACTAATTTTAAAGGGTAGCCCCACACAGTTAGGGGCTGGCAAGTGTGAGTCTGAGTTCTTGCCAGCAGGCTGGAGACCCAGGGGAGAGCTGATGTTGCAGTCGGAAGGCAGAATTCCTTCTTCCTCGGAAGATTTCAGTCTTTTTCTCTTTAGATATTTGACTGGCTGGATGAGGCCCACTCACATTATGGAGGGTAATCTGCTTTACACAAAGCCTACTGATTTAATGTTAAATATTAAACTCATCTGAAAAATACCTTCCCTGCAACCATCTAGACTGATGTTTGAGCAAACATCTGGGCACTGTAGCCTAACCAACCTGACACATACCAACAGAGCAGGATACATAAAACATTTGTGGAGTACCAACTTTATGTCTGTCACAGAGGATGTAAGGCAGACAAAAGAAAGTTCCTGGGATTCCTCCTTCACACTCATGAAGGTGCTGTGACAGAGAGGGCTCTGGAAATTGGATTGAGTTTAAGCTGGCAGGAGAGTGGAACCAAACTGGGGTGCTCTAAATCCTGGACCAGGGCAGCTTCACAGGGGCACAGATTGGGAACATTATACTCAACTCTTCCTGACAATTTCTGGCTGTCCTTTTCCCTGCTTAGGGAATGTGTCGAACCAAAAGACACCTCGGTTTCCCCTAGCTGGCACAGACCACGACAGCCTCAAATGATGTACAGGGGAACCCTTCATGCATTTAGTTTTGCCTTCAGGAACATTTCTTCAATGGCAGGGACCCACTGGCAGCTCACAGCAAAGAGCCTTATTTGTCGTTGTGGCCCTCAGCCCCCACTCGGTACAGGTAGCCCAAGGCCCCACATGCTGTTTCCCTCCTACAGTTTGGGTGGAAGAGAATATACCGAAAAGGGGTCCCAGAAACAGGTAGACCCTTTCACCAGTTACCTGAATTCTTGGAACTAGATTCTAAAATACTCCAGACTTCCCCCTTAGGATGAAACATGGAAGAGAATAGCCTTTTTTGGGGCCCTCTGTTGGTGTGTATCAAAGAAGCCTAGAGATGGGCAAATTCTTCTTAATATAATTAATGTAATATAGAATCTAGGCATTTACCACTTAAAAAAACCAAATATGTATGCAACAATGTACGTACAAGGATATTCTTCACAAATTTAAGTAAAAATTTGAGCACAAAGCAAATGTTCATCAAGGGGAGGGTGCTTAAATCTGTTACTGTTACAATTCCTAATATGGAACATTGTGGACATTCTAATGATAATGTAGGCTGTATGTTGCTAATATTGCAAGACATTCACGATTGACTGAAAATGAATGAGAGTACACATAAATCTATATTTTTCAATAAATGATATATTTCTTCCAATAGATTAGCGTAAGCCACTTTCTATAGGTAAATGGAATGAGTTAATATTACTTTCTTTTTCTAAATTTTGCAATAGTGTTTACTGATGTTTTGTAAAAACACAGTGACACTTTCCCTCCATCCATTTATTTTCCCAGACTAACATATGTATTGGAGTTCACCTCCCCTAAGCCATTTTTAAGAGAAATCATGCAAAATCAACAAGTGGGAAAAACTTGATTTACTTAGTAAGCCCCCAAGGGTATTCTCAGGCTTAAAGTCTAAAAGAAGTCCCTTTTTATGGAGCTAAAGCAAGACTTATTCCAATTCCTCCATGATGCAAGAGGGAGGAAAAGAAGTGAGATGGGCACCACCCTCCCCATCATGGCCACAGATGGGCTCCTTGACACCAGCCCTTAGCTCTCCTCAGGGAACCAAGCCAACCTATCAAGCAAAGGCTGTCCACTATTATTATTGAAACATATGCACACCTGACACTTCCTACTGAGTTCACCCTTCAGTCTGGTGTTACCTGATACTAGTCACGTAAGTAATCAGAGATGCGGGATGTCAGAGGTCCTCCAGGACGGAAGGAGAGAACATGATAAGGCCTTGTTGGAGGCTCTCCACAGGTTCTACACTGGGCATTCTGGGGTCAGGCTGGGGCCAGGTTGGGAATGGACAGGTCTTCAAATCAGTCACAGGAGAACTGAGGCTAGGCTCTTGCATTTAAAACGTTGATCTACAGTGGAATATGTAGGCTTATTACAAAGTGATAGATGGAGAATGAGCCAGGAACAAGGATAAAGACTTCTACAAGAGGTCTCTGTAGAAGTTTTTCACTATGGCAAATACATAGGCTGTTTTGATGTCTCCCAAAGCTTAGAGTCTCGAACTTCCTTATCACCCCGAGTCTTAGAGCAGTCTCAGCATTAACATGAACTGGCTTTTCCTCTCCCAAGTTCATATTCTAAAATGTGCCCTTGAACAGATTAAATTCCAATAGCAAAACCATTTATTGTAGATACTGCCTAATAGAAAAAGGAAAGAAGGTAGCTCAGGGCTAGTGGAAGGGAGTGGGTTCAGCAAGGCATGTAAAGTGTTTTCCTGTCTCCTTATTGATCTCTTTTGGACCTATATTCTTTCTCAAGTGACTGGCGTATTTGTTTAAAACTGGCTTAATTATGCCTATGCCTCTACCTTTTCTATTAAAAATGCAAATCATCGAGCACTCAGGTGTTAGGGCTTCAGCTTTGAAGTAATGTTCTTTAAGCGCTGGCCAGAAATAGCTATTGAGACAGAAGGACTGGCCCTCTATTTAAAGTTCTTCTCACCTCTGCCCCCGGTCACATCTAGTCGTTTAATGTTAATCCTCCTTCTCTACGAACTTAATTTATGTCCCAAACATCTGAGGACTCATAATGGGAAGGCTTCACCATTCTTCCAAGAAGCTCAGGAATAAAAGCAGCAACAATAAAGAATCCGTATGTAAGATTTTCTGGAAGGACTGAGCTGGGACTTTATGTCTCAAATTTAGTTTAAAGTGGTTCCAGAGTGGTAGTAATCCCAAATCTCGTCTGAAAATAAAATTATATAATCTCTGGAAAAGAATGGTACTTTCATTCAAGGATATTGGGAAGCCCTGTAAAACCCTTTTCAAGGACAGAGTAACACACAAAGCTAATCACCAAAAAAGGAAGCAAAGCAAATTGAGTATAAAGAATTTTAAAAATGTTTACAAAGATTCATAAAATCTTCAGTTATTGGTATTATCAGATGCATTTTAGGAATCAACTGTGCCTACCATATTACAAAAATCTTTGAAAAACTGAAAAAAAAACCCCACCTCTGTAAGGGAATCATGAATGCTAGATAAATCAGAATAAATTATCCAGAGTGCAATATAGAGACTGAAAGATGGAAATTACAGAGGAGGATAGAGTGGCAAGACCTACCTAACAACTAATTGGAGTTCACAAGAAGGAGAAAGAAATAATGGAGAAGACGCAATATGTGGAGAAGACAAATTTGCTGAGCACAGGAAGATGCCACTTTACAGACTCAAATTGCTCAACAAATCCCAACCAGGAGAAAAAAAATTAAAGAATTTCACAACTAGAAACAGTATGCAAAAACTATAGAAAACATATTTGGTTTCTGAATTCAATTCAAAGCCCAGGATTCTGAGGGGGAAAATTCTAATATTCTAGTCTCTTTAATATCTTGCATTTGTCTATGTAACTTGTACTTCAATGTTTTAAAAGAACATTGCCCAAAAGATATGCAATATCAGAAAAGTAAATACTAAAGCCAAGAGACACATGAAAAGATTCCCAATCTTATTAAGAACAAAAGAAATGCAAATTTAAGCCACAAGAAGTTATAATTTAGCACCTAGCACAGTTACAAAGTTTGAAAGTTTCACAAAAATCAAGTGCTGGCACTAACAGTTGCCAACCAAAGTAACTGCAAGCTATGGTAGGAGTGCAAATTGGTACAACTTTGAAAAAAAATTGCCATTGCTTAATAAAGATGTAAACGGGAAGATACTTTGCACTAGCAAATCCTTCCTTGTTACATATTCTAAGCCTTGAGAGGAATCCAGTTGATGCCACAATATTAAAAAAAAAACCCACTGCTGCTCTAGGGACGAAATACAGTCATGAGATATACCAAGGTGCAAGCATTATCTAATGATCTTATGCGTGTAAGTACTCGACATCTACACGAAAAGTCAGTCATACTACTTGTAATTTTTAAAAAATAAGTAAATTTTAGTTAAAAGAAAGTAAAGGAAACAACCCAAATTTACAATAGTAGAATGTTCTGACCTAGGCACGTCTTTGTCCAGTGACTGTTCAGGCGGGCTGGGCAAAGTCAGAGACTGAAGCGCTTCTGGGGGCCGAGGAGGGTCAGAGGAGTGATTCTTCCCAGGACTGAGGGTCTTTGTCCTCAAAGCCCTCACGGGAGTCCTATATTCCCGAGCCCCTCGAGGGTGTGCAATGCACATCGGAGCTGCAGCCAGTGCGCTAGCGATGACGTGACCGCACCAACTTCCGGGAAGTGCCGTGGGTCCGCGGACAGCTGCTGTTGTAACAGCCCGGACACAGGGCATTCTGGAAAATACAGTCCTAGGCAGGTCGGTGCCAATGCTCAAGGCCCATACGAGCTGGACAGCGTGGCAGCCGGGCTTTGGATGAGAGGAGACGTTCCGCTGGTAGAGGCCAGTTCTCACCCCGCACCCGCAAAGGCTGCCCTTGTCCCGGCAGGAGACCGTCTGCGCAAGCAGACGACGTTGCGCCGGCGCATGATTTTATGGAGAGTGTAGTTCTGGGCGCCACTGTCCTCCCAGTGCAAGCAGACGGTTGCCGTTAGCTCCGGAAGGCAGAGTCGTCAGAGACAACTACCGACCTCTCGGGACTTTGCATGTGTTGCTCTGCGCGCAGCTCCGAGCGAAGTAGTTTTTCACAAAGCCCAGGCCGAGTTCTCGCGGTGCGCCGCGCGGCCGCGGAGCCTTCTGGGAAGTGTGGTTTTCCCGGAGGCAACCGTGCGACGCACTGGCAACTTTTGTCCCTGACGCGGAGGCGGCTGAGAAGTGTAGCCCCGGTGTGGCTCATCCTTGGTCCGCCGCGCGGTCGTCTCCGGCCAGGCTCGGAGTTCTCGGTTCTGGAATCGGGGAGGACTGTGGACGGCGCGGTTCCCTCGAGCGGGGCGGCCATTGTCCGCTCGCCGCGACCGGGCGCGTCAGGTACGCGTAGGTGCAGGCTCTGGACGGCCCCGCCCGGCTCGGTGGCAGCGGGGTCGGCTGAGGAGTCAGGCGGGTGTGGGTCCTGGAGGGAGGGCGGCCGGCAGGCCTCGGGCTAACAAAACAGCCAGGCGCTGGGCACGGCTGCCGCAGCCTCCCTGGCCCGAGGGTCTGCCCCGTGGTGTGAGCCAGCCAGGCCTTTCGCTTCTCTGGGCCTCTAAGTGCTGCTTGGTGAAAAGGGGTAAAGATGCCGCTTACCTTATAGAGCTGTTAGGAAAAGGAAATGGGAGAGCGAGTGTGTGTAGTATGCACTGAAAGAAAATGCCATCTGCAGGTTTTTTTTTTCCTTAAAGTCCAGTGTGTAAACCTTGAACAGATTGCTTCAATATCGCCGAGTTTCAGTTTTCTCATTGTTTAAAAAAGAAATCTGTAATGTGAATGCCCACCATGCATAGTGGTGAAGATCGAACGAGCTCTTCTTTAATATTATTAGTATTGTTTTAAGAGTTTATCTCTTATGTATATAATAGTTGATTTACACGCAGATAGCACGTGGTTACTTCTTGCCAAGAAACACTGTTAATTCGAGGAATGATTGGAGCCCCCAAAAGTGATTCCCTATGTGATTTTCTATGCAGGTGTGTCCAGAGCTGCACGATAAGCCTGATTTTTCATGACTGCGTTTTCCAGTTCTTGATCTGCCTTCTCCTTTTATAAGAGAGCCTGGGAGAAGGACAGTGTTCACTTTTGGAAACTGCGAGGACATGTTTCAGGTAAGTTAGGAAGTCCCCAAATCTTCTCAAAACACCTGCTCATCAGGACTCGGGGGTTTTTGCTCTAACTCTCCTACCAGTTACTACCGCATAAAGTCCATTTAGGAGCTGGATCTATAATTCCTTTCATTATAGCAAAACGTGGAGCCCGCAGAACTACAAGGTACTGTCTTCTCTCAGTGCTCCTCTTTTCTACCAGTTTTCTGCTAGAAGCCTCCGTGGAGTCTTGAACAAACCTTTTTTAAAATTACAAGTCAAAATTCAGGTTTGGAATTTTAGGTTATTTGCTTTGTGGTTGTCAAAGCTGTATCATGTGGTCTCAATTAATGGTATATATCAGTTCTTTTCAGTTGTTCAAGTCAAGAGATGTTTGGAGTCATCCTTGATACCTCCCTTTCTCTTATAACTCAGATTCAGACACTCTAGTTGGATCTGAAATATACAGAGGATATCTACACGATTGGTTGCCCTAGGGCTACGACCACTGCCACCCTGGTCCAAGCCACCTAGATTATTGCAGTAGTTACCTTACTATATTCCCTGCTTCTGCCCTTGACCCTCTTCGGTCTCTTCTCAATACAGCTGTCATAGTGAACTTCTTGTTATATAAAATCCTCAGTGTAAAACTCTTCAGTGGCCCTAATTCAGAATAGAAGTCAGATTTGTGTAATGACTAAAAAGCTTTGTACAATTAGTCTGTCTTATTACCTCTCTGATCTCATCTTCCTTCTCTGTCTCCAGCCACACTGGCCACTGCCTCCAGGACTTGGAAGTTGCTATACCATCTGCTTGGAATATTCTTTCCCTAGATATACACACTCTTGCATTCTTACCTCCTTTGTATCTTTGCTCAGTGGTTACTTTCTTGGTAAAGCTTCCCTGAACACCTTTAAAATTTAAAATTGCAGTCACCTCGTGACTATCGCTTTAACTCCTCCATCACTGTGTTGTTATTTTTCAAAGCACTTATCACTCACTAACTGATACACTATATGTGTAGTATATGCATATGCTCATTGTTTGTCTCCTCTTGCTGGAAGAGGTGTATTTTCTTTTTTGTTGACTGTTTTATCTTCATTATCTGGAGTGGTATCTGTCATAAAACAGATGCTTAGTAAATAATTGTTGAGTGAATGAGTGATGAAAAAATGGCAGGGCAGAATCATGGGGTAGGAGTGAAGCCTGCACAGGAGAATGTATGAGTGGCGATGTGCATGTTGGGCAGAGTCTGTTTCTTAGGAATATTAGATAATAGAATTGGACAAACTTCACTTCTCTAAAAAAAGCTAAAGTGTGAACTGCCAAAATGGTTCATTGATTCATTTTCTAAACACTTAATGAAGAACCTGTTAGGAAGACTCTTACATAGGTTTGGGTATACACTGACATACAGGATTTTGTTACCTAGTGCAATACTGAGAGACCTTTCTACAGTGGTGGAAGTGTTCTCTTTGTGTGCTGTCCAGTATGGTAGCCCCCAGCCCCATATGACTGTTGAGTACTTGAACTATAACTAGAGTGACTGAGGAACTGAATTTTTAATTTTACTTAACTTTTAAGTTTAGTTAATTTCAATTTCTGTAGCCAAATACAGTGGCTACTGTATTGAGCAGTACAGGACTTGTACAGGACTGGTAGAAAAGCAAGAAACTGTAAGAAATTAAGATATTTATGTAATATCCTAAGTTCTGGGGACAATGATGAATGAACACCCTAGGCTGCCCAGGCAGCTGAAGGGGAAGAAAGAGTTGAAGCATCCCTGGGGAAGCAAGGCTGGAGTTGTTTGGGTGGCACACAGTACCAGGGAGGCAGAGGCGGAAGTGAAGTTTTACTAAACTGAGAGAACACCTTGAGTGTGGGTAGGTAGAGAGGCCTACGAGAGTCGTTTAAGGAAGTACAAAACTTTTGTACAGCAGTGGTTCTCAAACAGGGGTGATTTTGTCTCCCTTAGTCCCACCCAGGGGGGACATTTGACAATGTCTGGAGACATTTTTGGTGGTTGTAATCCGGGGGGGGAAGGGGAGTTGCTCCTAACATCTAAAGGGTAGAGGCTAAGGATGCTGCTAAACATCCTAAAATACAAAGGACAGGTCCTTGCAGTAAAGAATTATTCAGCCTAAAATGTCAATAATGCTAAAGTTGAGAAACCCTGATTTAAATAAAGAGCAAAGAGTATCTATTAGTGAGATTATGTGGTGTTCTTCTTTAGACTGTTAATACAGTGATACTCATTAGTATCAAACATACAATGCAAAATATTTTTGCATGAGTGGAATAAAACAGTGCTTTATGCATTTAATATAGTGTTGATTTTTAAATTTGGTTTATCAGGTGGGATTTGTAAAAGCTAATCATTTACAGACTACTGTGGAAAATAGGAAAAGATGGAATTTTTTTCAGTGCGTAGGATAAGGCTAGCATAATCCTAATACCTGGGTAAGAGTAAACACAAATGGAAAAAAAATTTCCCTGGTGCCAAAAGGGAGATCTCCCTCTCTTAGAATGTTTCCTTGAGAAAAACCTGTAATTGTATGTCCTCTCCCTGTCCCTTTGAGATGCTTGTAAATCTTTTTCAAAGCTAAATAAGCCTCTGCCAATTTCACAAAGTAGTAAGTCTTTCTTATGGGCCTCAGACCCATCTCTTTGAATTGAAAACATGAAGGAAGATGCGCCTCTTATCTCCCTACCTGTGTGGGAGTTTAGCGTAGGCTTCTGGCTCCAAGTTCTAACTACCTGCTTATCATAAAGATACGAGTTTTATTTTTCTTTGGGATAAAGGCAGTTAATATAGATGGCTACTCCAATTACCAGGTGAATTTAGGATGAACTCTGTGTAGCAAATAATGCTGTCAAGTCCTCTTACTTAAGGACAAGTTATTAATTTTGAAAACATGTATAATGGATTGTATCTGCCTGACTTTATAAAAGGGTGAAAATTCTTTCTGTCCTTGCAGTCTTATTAGTGATTGCCTGTGAAGTGCATTACTGTCTGGTTTCATGCTTATTCAGTAATTAAACTTTTCTCTTTTTAGACCGTGGAGAGGATTTTGTGCTTGGTAGATTTGATTTTTAATTATTTCCCCAATACCTGACAAAGGTAAATTCCCTCTTTAAACCAAAGACCAGTGTCACTGGTGAACACACATGTAAAATATCCAAATGAAGTAATAGAATATTGAATTTACACTTGGAGTGAAAACTTTACAATAGCCAAACAATGTTTATTTCACTAATGAAAGGCAGTAATAGTGCCATTTTAAATACATACTTTCTTTGCGCGTATTTTAATTTGACTAACCAGTAAATTATTATTGAACATTTAAGCTTTTTTCTAAAATTTTGCTATTTTAAATAATACCATGAATGAGTACTGTTGGGAAGAAATCTATTTCCTTAGAATATTTTCCTTGCAATGTGTCTTTTTTTTTCTTTGCCCTTACTTTAAGGTTGTATTCAAGGACTACCTGTGTCATAAAACCATCCTTCAGTCTTCTTGCCCAGGGGTCTCAAATTATTTTAATTATAGATTATGAACATGAGGTTTAATTATGTGCATAAATGTTTTTGCTTTTTGTTTATAAATTGGTTATGTATGTGTCTATCTTTAATATAAAGATGTCTTTTTTCTGAACCTATTGTATTCTTTTTTTTTTTTGAACTTTAGTGGGTTATCATGTTTTATTACCTGGCATGTAAGTTATAAAAAACACAATAAGCACTTGACTATATGCTGTCAAGTATTGAATGTTGATTTTTAAAAATTTTATAATTCTATTCCCTTTTACAAAATTAACTCTCCTGAAGGAGAGCTTTTATATTTGTCTCTTATCTGTATTGGACACCACTACCAAGAACATAATTATCCAGTTATTACTTAACTTAGATCAGATTCCTGATCATTGTCACAACTATTGAATCTTGTTCCCTTTCTTCCACACTAGCATAGTTTTACCCCTTGACCAGTGACAGAAGCGGCCTAGGCTATTGGTTGAGCCTAAATATGTGTGCTATTTCAGGTGACATTTAGTGATGTGGCTATAGACTTCTCTCATGAAGAGTGGGGATGGCTGGATTCTGCTCAGAGGGATTTATACAAGGATGTGATGGTCCAGAATTATGAGAACCTGGTATCTCTAGGTAAGCATATCTCCCCCTCGACTGCAATGAGGGAGATCTTTCTTCTGCCACTCTGAATTGCTAGAGATCTTCCTTAGTAAATAGCTGAATTTTTGTTTCACGTTCCCAAGGAAATACATAGCTCTGTTTTGTCCTGCCTGAAGCTTATCTTCCCATTTTAGTGAACATCCTTCAGACTTACTTTGGTCTCTATTTTGATGTTGATCTCTCCTCCATGAAGACCACAGCTTGAACAATTTTTGTTCTGTATTTTTCCTGTAAGCAGGTCTTTCCATACCTAAGCCAAATGTGATTGCTTTATTGGAGGAAGGCAAAGATCCTTGGATGGTGGAGAGAAAACTGTCAACAGGTATGTTTCCAGGTAAGTCATGGTGAATCAGGCAAAAGAGGTCTTTGTTAAGATGCTTGTAGAAAGTGTGGAGGCATTTTAGGATATTTAAGACATAATGTCTTCAGAGATCCAAAATGTAACAAAACTGAGGGATCCTTAGCTTAGATTTCAGAATGACCAGTCCTCTATCCCAAATCATTACCTTTCTGTATTATGTCATCTAGTTAACAGTGGAGGTTTTTTGCGTTCATAATAATTCAAATTGTTGTTTATTTGAAATGAAATAAGGCAAATTATTCTTTGTAAGTCCATGTAAGTCTAAAAATGCTGTCAATTAGATGGAAAATCAGTTTCCCCTAAGGCAGAACTTCAAAGATCAAATATGAACATAAGTGCTAGAGGAAGTAAGGGATGTATAGGAAGGTTTCTAAGAATGATATTTTCTAATGTCAGTAAATACTATGATTTCACACAGATCCTACGTAAACTCACTAAGCCTAAATCTTTCTGAACCACAGAGTATTTAGATTATTTTGTCATTGTAGCTGTTTAATGCAGTGCTATAAATTCTGCATTTTAAGCATATTAATCTGACTGCAAATTGAGATTAATCAATTTAATTAAATTTAATTGAGAAGTTGCAGAACCAAAGCTGTGTGAGATAAGATGTGGTCTTTCACATAAGTTTAAAAGGCACAAAGTATTGGCTTGGGATCCAGAAAGAAATGCCTTCTGCATTTTCTTTCTGATAGATTCAGTTTTTTCCCACATACTGATTGCCTATATTTAACCATTTCCCGTAATACACTCTGCCCCTGAGCTGTCTGTATTCTCTGTGCTCCATTTGAACTTTGTTCAGAAATCATTGAATATATGAGTTTTATTAGAGCATGTGTTTTCTTGTGAGGGTACAGGGGGATGACTTAATTTTTATCCAGTTCTCTTATTTCTACCATAGAAGTTTCTTTTCAAGAAGTTAAAAAAAAAAAGCAGTGTTTTGCTGTCTTGATATATTACAGATTGGGACTCAAGATGGGAAAACAAAGAATTATCAATGAAGGAGGATATTTGTGATGAAGATTCACCCCAAACGGTAATAACGGAAAAAATTATAAAACAAAGTCATGAATTTTCAAATTTTAACAAGGACTTGGATTATATAGAGAAGTTGGAGGGGAAGTGTGAAAACCAGATAGAACATTTCAGACCAGTGACCCTCACCTTTAGAGAAAGTCCCACTGGGGAAAATGTTTACAAATGCAATACACTTAGAAGCATCTTCCATTTAAAGTCTGTTCTTTCTGAACCACAGAGAATTTCTGCTGAAGGAAAGTCACATAAACATGATGTATTTCAGAAGAACATACCAACAAATTCAGTTATAAACAACGAGAATGTCAATGGTGGAAAGAAACTTTTGAATTCTAATGAAAGTATGGCAGCCTTCAGCCAAAGCAAATCTCTTGCCCTTCACCAGACTTATAACAGAGAGAAAATCTATACATGCAGTGAATGTGGGAAATCCTTTGGTAAACAATCAATCCTTAATCGCCATTGGAGAATTCATACAGGAGAAAAACCGTACGAATGTCATGAATGTGGGAAGACTTTTAGCCATGGCTCATCCCTTACTCGACATCAAATAAGCCACAGTGGAGAGAAACCTTACAAGTGTATTGAATGTGGGAAGGCCTTTAGTCATGTTTCATCACTTACTAATCATCAAAGCACTCACACTGGAGAGAAACCATATGAATGTATGAACTGTGGAAAGGCTTTTAGTCGTGTTTCACATCTTATTGAACATCTGAGAATTCATACTCAAGAAAAACTCTATGAATGTCGAATATGTGGGAAGGCCTTCATTCACAGGTCATCTCTCATTCACCATCAGAAAATTCATACTGGAGAGAAACCTTATGAATGTAGTGAATGTGGAAAAGCCTTTTGCTGTAGCTCACACCTTACTCGACATCAAAGAATTCATGCTATAGAGAAACAATTTGAATGCAACAAATGTCTGAAAGTCTTTAGCAGCCTCTCATTTCTTATTCAGCATCAGAGTATTCATTCTGAAGAAAAACCCTTTGAATGTCAAAAATGCAGGAAATCCTTCAACCAGCCTGAATCACTGAATATGCATCTAAGAAATCACACTAGATTGAAACCTTATGAATGCAGTATATGTGGGAAAGCCTTCAGTCATAGGTCATCCCTGCTTCAACATCACAGAATTCATACTGGAGAGAAACCTTACGAATGTATTAAATGTGGGAAGACATTCAGCTGTAGTTCAAACCTTACTGTGCATCAGAGAATTCATACTGGAGAAAAGCCATATAAATGTAATGAATGTGGGAAAGCTTTTAGCAAAGGCTCAAATCTTACTGCCCATCAGAGAGTACATAACGGAGAGAAACCCAGTAGTACAGTAAGTGTGGAAAACCCTTTAAGCCACATGAATCACTATTCATGTGAAAGATCGTATAAGAGAGAAACTGTATAAGTAAGGTATTCGTCATAATATGCTACTCATAGATCCTCCCTGATTCAACATCAGAAAATTTTTACTGGAGAAAGTTCTTATGAATGTACTGAATATGGGGAAATCTTTAGCAGTGATACAAGCCTTATTGTCTGTTACATTTCACACTATAGCGAGACTATAATATGAAGGCAATATATGTGGGGAAGCCTTAGCCAGCATTAATCTCTTGATTGACATAAGTAAATCCACACTGGAGAAAAACCCTTTACATGTAATAAGTATGGGAAAGACATTAAGCAATATGATTCTCTTAAAAAGCATTAAATACATACAGGATAGATGCAACATGAATATAAAAATTGTGGGAAATCCCTCAGTTAAAACGCATCTCTCATTCTACATCAGAGAACTCACACTGGAGAGAAAAATGTAAGAAATGTAGCCAAGTGTTCACTAAGTGTTCTTAGCTTGCTAGACATCAGAAGATTAATGCTAGAATCACCTGAAAGATGTAGGAATTACATGTAAGTGTTCCTTTGCAATGATGCGAATTTGTAAACAATTCTACAGGAAAACCAATAAGCATATTATAAGTGAATATGCATACCTTATAGTAGCAGCATGCATTTTACTCGAGTCCTACATAGAAATTATCTTTAGCTAATGGGCATGTGAAGATACTTGTCACCCAGTGAATCCAGCAAATGTTATAATGTTGAAAATTAAAGTTGCAATAGAAGTTAAAAGTGGCGTGCATAAAATTTTTGGTCTTTAATAAAATCATTCTGTATATATTGAACGCTTTGACTGACACACTGATATTTCTTACAAAATTTTCCACTACTTTCCTCTTGAGGAATTATGATCAGCATTACTGTATAATCTTTGTGGGAGACTAGCATACCTAGGAAAAACGTCCTGATCTCTGTGCTAAGAATGTCGCCATTTTGGTGAGGATGATCCACAGTCCATTTCCAGTTGGCTTAATTCACACATTTTAATTTTTACAAGTACCATGAGAACATAACCCAAGAAACTACGTACTATGAGAGGTCAGAGCAGAGTGGACGTGTTTTTTAATCTGAATCCTAAGGGATGAGTGCTAATTACAGTAACCCTCCATAACTGCAGATTCTACATATGCAGATTCAACCGCTCGCAACTGGAAAAAAAAAGTTTTTATCAAGAGAGTTCTGAAAAGGCAAAACTTGAATTTGCTGGCAGCAATTATTTACACAGCATTTACATTGTTTTTTACAGCTATTTACATGATATTTACATTGTATTAGGTATTATAAGTAATCTAGGGATGATTTATAGTATGAAGGAGGCTGTGCATAGGTTATAACGAATACTGTGCCATTTCATGTAAGGGACTTGGAGCACCTGCAGATTTTGGTATCCATGGAGGGTAAGGGAGTATGTTGGTCTGGAACGAGTTCCCTGCGAATACTGAGGACAACTGTAGGCAACTGTGCAAGAACATGCGCTCTTGGGGATCATTTTAGGCAAAGCAGACAAGCAAGTTGTATCAGGTTTGCTGCATCTGGAATCCGTTATCAGCGTTAAGTTTCAAGTTTTGTGGCTTTGAGGTGTTTCTGCTGGCAGCATCACTAGTAACAGCAGTAATTTCCTCATCCCTTGATCAGTTATGGGGGGTTGGAATTTAATAGTCCAGAGCTGTGCCCATTACTCTAGCCTGCTCACCAATTTTGACAACATTAATTTCCTATATGTCTTCTTGAAATATTTAAGACAGTTTTTGCTTTCTACACTGAACCTTGACAGATAGTTATGATCTGTAAGGGGGTTGGCTTCAGATATTCTAAGCTTCAGATAAGAAATGAATAGCCTTTATTGCCCCTATGGTTTCCCATTTCTTGCTACTGGAAAGGTGATACAGGTCAATGATTAGGATTGTATGGATGCAGTTGCAAGTAAAGCGCAGTTATATAGTTTATATTTCAGATTATGTTCTCTATGGCATTTGATAGTTGTAAGGAAAATTATTTTAAGAAGGAATATCATTGATACAATTCTGGTGTGGAATGAGTGATAGGGTTTCCAACTTTAGACAAAATACTCTACTTTGGTACATGTGCTACCTTAACTGAAAGCCAAGAGGTGAAGGCACATTCCCTAGCAATTCACACTAGAGACAGTGGGTTTGGAATTGGAGGGTAAGTTTTTAATATTAAGAGATTTCTCTTTCCTTTTAATAGTCATGAGGTTTACTTTGATACTCTATGGAATGTTGAAGGATCTTTCAGAGACTTATAATTAAGGGAGCATGGCATGGTATCAAACAAGGATTAAAGATAGTTGTAATTATGGATAGACTGGCCCCTATGTGTACATTTAGTTGTGGAGTAATGGCAGTAGCTTTAGGTTTCTCCCATTGTGTCCTTCTCTGCTCTCCCAAGCACTGGTACTACAAAGATGAAGTAGTCCTTTAGTCCCCCAGGCTTTATTTGCTTTCACTACACAGTTTTATGCCATTGTGTTATGAGAGGATTCATCCAAATGCCCATACTTTGTCATTTAAAAAGCATGAGCATACACATGATAATGGTTTATAATTCTTGATTTAAAGTAACTTCACAATGATACTGAACTAGGAAAAGAAAGCCAGAGATTTAAATAAAGGTAGAGGTTTTTAAAGAAAGCAGTAAGAGGATATGGCCGTACCTTGTCATCGTAAAAGACTGAGCTGAGATCATAATGCTGTTATAATGTCACTGATGGAGAATCATGCTCGGTTATGACTTAACCATTTCTTGAGCATTTACTGTGGGCCCCATAAATAAGACACACTCCATATCCTCCAAGAGCTTAAAGGTGTGTGTATGTGAAGAGCACGGGCTCTGGGCCACGCTGTCTGGGTATGATCTAAGTTGCACATGTCCTGGCTCTGTATGACCTTGGACAACTTAACACGCTGTGCCGTGCCTCAGTTTCTCCATCTATAAAATGATCATAGCATCTAAGGATTACTTTGAAGACTAAATGTGTTAATTGGTGTAAAATGCTTACAATGCCTGGTGCCTCAAAAGCATTCAAATAAACATTAGCTATTAATTTCATTGTCATTGTCTTCACGTGGCTGCTTCATCATTCTGGTCTCCAGTGTCACATCTAGTGGGTCTTCCTAATCACCTATCACTCACCTACTTACTGTTCACCTTTTGGGGGTTTCTTACAAGACATTTCCATTTCCTTCCAACAAATCCCCCTTTGGCATTTGAGCCATCTTTGCGAGGAATATATTTATTATTCAAAATACTCTGAGGAGACACAAAGGACACCAGATAGGAGAAAATGAGACAAGAACACAGCAGGACCGCAGGAAGTCAGGAGGGGTCCCTAACATGTGTTTTGGAGAAAGAGCATAATGAATAAGGCTTCAGGTCCCTGTATGGAGGAGAGGTGAGGCTTTACCCAGTGAGACCAGAAGCCTCAAGTACTTCAGCATCACCTCTTGTTACAGGGTTCTCTGGGCTTAGTGCAGCTGCCCTTAGTGTTCCTGAATAGAGGTTACAGGCATTTTACTGAAGGTCACCGATGACTAGAAATTCAGAGTAGTTTCAATAGCCTTGGGCTAGTCAGTTGTTACTATAGGCAGTTGTGCAGTTATTGGTAAAGATCCTGAAAGAACCAAGGCACATATCACTGAGAATTTCTTGGGAGACTAGCTCTGTACAGGGCATCAAAGGGGAATCAGACACTGCATTTTAAACAGGATGCAATTGTGTTACAGAAAAAAAAAATGCCTATGATTTTGTTCACAAAAGACGATGACAGGCTGTGTGGCTTGAGAGGCACAGAAAGTAAGCTCTGGCATTAAAGATGAATAGGGAAAAAATTATAGTGGTAACAGTATTGCTAGCAGCTGAGCCTCATGGCTGTGTACAGTGTACTGCATACCTGCACTGTATGCTGAGGGCTGAGGTTGCAGCATTTAAGAATTAAATGTTCCCAGCTCTGGACCCAAATTCCTGGGTTTGAATCAGCCTATTGATACTGACACTTGTCTTCCATTAACCTTAAGAAAATTACTTCATTTCTCAAGCTTTGATTTCTGCATCAAAAACAATTCCCACTTTACTAGGTGGTTGTGAGAATTGAAGAGAAAATACTCATAAAGCAAACAATGGAGTGCCTGGCACATGAAAGTTGCTCAGTGTGGTTTTTCTTAGTTTTCTTAATTCCCCCACAGAATATTAAGTAAATGCCATTTTCATCTCTAAGGCACAGTCAGTGACTTGAGCCTCAGGCAGCACCAGCAAATCTCCCAGTCACGCATCTCAGGAACACAGGCTGAATCTGAACATCCAGTAGGAGATATAAACTACAGTTGCCCACCTGGCAATACTGTATCTCAGAAGATCAAGGTTTCTCTTAGCAGTCACACTGGTCCTCCCATGCCTCCTTGAGTAAGAAATACTCCCTTTAGCCGTGCCATTCTTTCAGTCTAAAATGTCCCCAATAACCCCCAAGTTCACCTGCCAGAAGGACTACTGCCTACCCTACAAAGTTCACTTTAGGTATCATCCCAGGCTTCCTCAGGCATTAATGGGGGAAATGAGGGATGAAGAGCCCCTAATAATGAATAGATCAACCACACAGAAGATAACTAAAAAAATAGAGGACCTGTTAGTCAATAAACCAACTACACCTCATGAACTGGATTAGTGCTCTTATAAATGAGACCCCACAGAACTCTAGCCCCTTCTACCATGTTTGGACTCACTGAGAAGTCTGCAGCCAGAAAGAGTGACAATTCTGGCACCTTGATCTCAGACTTTGAGCCTTCAAGAACCGTGAAAAATAAATTTCTGTTGCTTATAAGCTACCCAATCTCTTGTATTTTGTATAGTAGCCTGTATGGACTAAGACAACAACCCATGGGCCAAAGAAGAATCCACAAATTAAATCAGAAAATACTTAAAAGACTTATGAAAATGATAATGAAAACACAACATACCAACATTTGTGGTATACACCAAAAACAGTGTTAGGAGAGACATTTACAGCAGTAATTGTCTACATTAGAAAAAAGGTTTAATAGAAGAAATTAAAAAAAATTTTTTAAAGAAACATGCTATGAGTGAAGTTATGGCTGAATCTTACTGACTATTGAAGACTGAAGAAAATATTTCTCCAAAATGTCTCCTTAGATCTACATTGTGCGATTATACTGAGAAGTGGTTACTGCCCCCAGACTTGAGTGATAGCATAAACAACCTGCATTTATGGCAGGCAGTGAGGGAGGTTCTCTCTCCATCTAGCCCTCACAAAGCCAGATGGAGAGAAAACAGTGTGGTAGAGAAGGAAGCAACAGCCTAGGAGGTGGGTCTGGGTTCCTGTCCTGGCTTAGCCACATACTAGCTCTGAGGCCTTGGCCAAATCACACCATCTCTGAATCTCAAAGCTCAGAAACTTCTAGCAAACATAATAATATCTATCCCACAGAGCTCCATGAGATCAAATACATAAAAATATGTAACACACCTAGCAGAGTGCTCAGCACACAGTAGCTTCTCCAACTAGGTTAGATCCCTTCCCTATGAGACACCTGGAACCAACAACTTTTCGTCTGAAGATATCACAGCCTGGTGTCCAACCTGAGAAGATCCTATGACTTCCAGAACTTCTATTCTGTTTCTTATATTCTATACTGAAAAAAAGAGAAGTGGGCCAAAATTGAGTTTTGTTAATAAATGTTACTGTCACTTGCAAAAAAAAATCTGAAATCAATAACCTAACTTCATACCTTCTGTAACTACAAAAAGACAAACTAAACCAAAATCTACTGAATGAAGGAAATAATTTTTAAAAACAGGATGGAGATAAGCCAAATAGAAAATAGAGAAATAACAGAGAAAATCAATAAAACCAAAAGTTGGCTCTTTGAAAAGATCTTCAAGTTTGATAAACTTTTATCTAGACTGACAAAGAGAAGACATAAATTACTAAAATCAGAAATGAAAACAGAGATATTACCACCAACCTTACAGAGGTAAAAAGGATTATAGGACAATATAGAGAACAACTGTACACCAAAGAGACAACCAAACAAAAATGGAAAAATTCCTTGAAACAGAAATTATCTAAACTGTCTCAAAAAGAAACAGAATATTTCAACAGATCTATAAGAAGTAAAGAGATTGAATCAGTAATCAAAATCCTCCAAACAAAGAAAAGTTCTGGACAGACTGCTGCACCAGTGATTTCTACCAAACATTCAATGAAGAATTAACACCAGTCCTTCTCAAATTTCCAAAAAATTAAAGAGGAGGAACCACTCCCTAGTTTATTATATGAGGCCAGCATTGTTCTGATACCAAAGCTAGATAAAAATTATCATAAGGAAAGAAAATTACAGATGAATATCCTTATGAATATAGATGCAAAAATCCTTAACAAAATATTAGCAAATTGAATCCAACAGCATATAAAAAGATTTATTCACCATGACCAAGTGGAATTTACCCCAGCAAAGTAAGGGTGGTTCAACATAAGAAAATCAATCAGTGTAATCCATCCCCATTAATAAAATGAATTAAAAAAAACCCTATATGATCATCTCAATTTATGCAGAAAAGGTATCTGACAAAATTCAATAAATTTTCATGATAAAAATCCTCAGAAAACTAGGAATAGAGGGAAAATTCCTCAACATGACAAAGTTATTTGTGAAAAACCCACAGCTAACATCATATTCAGTGGTGAAAGACTGCTTTCCCCCTGAGATCAGAAAAAGACAAGATTTCTATTAAGCACTGTACTTGAAGTTCTACCAGAGCTATAAGAAAAAAAAAGGTAATCAAAATGGAAAGGAAGTTGTAAAATGATCTTTTTTGCAGATGTCATGATCCTTTATATAAAAAAATCCCAAAGAATAAAAAAAAAATAATAAAGCTAATAAATGAATTCAGCAAAGTTGCAGGTAAAATCAGTACCTCAAAATCATTTGTGTATCTATACAGCAATGAACAACCCAAAAAGGAAATTAGGAAACTCTTTCCATTTACAACAGTACCTACAATAATAAAATATTTAGCAATAAATCTAACCAAGGAGGTGAAAGATTTGTATGCTGAAAACTCAAAAAACACTGCTGAATGAAATTAAAGACCTAAATAAATGGAAAGATGTCTCATGTTCAAATCAGGAAGACCTAACATTGTTAAGATATCAATATTACCCAAAAAGGTAAGAGTCAATGCAATTCTTATCAAAATTCCTAATCCAACTAAAAGGGATTAAAAACTATAAATTATGATATGAAATACACTGGATGGGACTATGGGAAGAGTGAGCATAGCAGAAGAAAAGATGAGGAAACTGGAAGATGTAGCAATAGAAACTATTCAAAATGAAACTGAGAGAAAAACACAAAAGTAACAAAACATCAGTGATCTTTAATAAGCAATCCTCATTATTTGCAAATTCACCTATTCACCAAACTTTATTTGTAACCCCCAAATCAATACTCGTAGTATTTTTGCGATTACTTGCAGACATGTGCAGAGTGGTTAAAAAAAAAAAATTGAGTCACCCAACATGCATGTTGCCAGCTGAGGTCAAACAAGCTGTCACTCTTTCTTCTGGTTTCAACTCTCATACTATAGTGTCCTATTTAGTACCACATTTTTGTATTTTTGTGCTTTTTGTTGGTTATTTTGCTGTTGAAAATGGCCCCCCAAGCACAATGCTGAAGTGTTGTCTAGTGTTCGTAAGTCCAAGATGGCTGTGATGTGCCTGAGAGAAAGAAGCTTCAACCAGTCATGAGTTATACTGCTGCTGGCTGTGAGTTCAATGTTAGTCAATCAACAATATGGCACCTCCAAAACTAGGAAGAGGAAATTCATCAGTCTGTACATGCAGCTATTCCAGAAAAGTATTAAAAGTAACATCTATACTGTGTGACGAAGCTATGAAAAAGATGGGAAAATGGCAAAATTTGTAGATTCATGAGATGAAGACCAATTAAAAAGAAAAAAAGCATAGGAGACAACTTTGTTGCAAGGCTGAAAGCCAAAATTTACAGTCATGTTACCCAGGTCAAGAAAATGTTAAACCCTGATCAGCTGGGTGCTAGCTGGCCTGCACATTTCAAAAGGCAATACAGCATGAAAAATGTTGAGGCGGATTCTGCAGATCAGGAGGCTTTGGAATAATTTTTAAGAATACCTAAGTGTTTTTACCTAAGGAAAAGTGTTACATGGAAGAGCAAGTTTCAAAGCTGATGAGACAGGCTTGTTTACAAGGCTGTTGCAAATGAACCTATATAATGCCTCCAAAGTCCAACTTTGAATTATTCAAATACCATGCAACCTTGCTATCGTGTTGCCAAGGGCAACTTTAAGTGTAAATCCCCAACGGTGTACAGAGCCCCAAATCCACAGAAACCGAAAAAGAAAAACCTGAACCATATGACAGTCCACTATAGGTGAAATAAAAACATTTGAATGATGTCAGAAATATACTGGGAATTTTTCCACAACTGCTCATTCAAGAAGTTGAACGCTATCTCCAGGCAAAAAAAAAAAAAAAAACTTGCCTCCAAGGGTTTATTAATTTTGGACAGTGCCCCAGTCCTTTGCCGTGAAGAACTTGAAAATGCCCACTCCAACTGAGATGTTCTAAATGCTACATCTGTTAATTCAACCTCTCAATCAGAGCCTAATAAAAGCACAACATGAGGGAGCTTTTTAGCAAAGCTCTCAAAACCAACAAGGAAACCGCCATGAAGGAGTACTGGATGTCGTCACTATATGCACTGTTGTGTTGGCACAGCCTGGGATAGTATCAAGGAGACTACTATCATTAACTGCGGGAAAAAAATGCTTGTCTGGACTGCCCCCCAAAATTTCAAAGGCTTTGAAGGTGTTACAGAAAATATAAAGGACAAAGTCAAACACAATGCCTTTCACATGACATATAAGTAAAATAGGCTTCAATGACGTGACAGAAGATGTGGAAGAAATTCTGGCAGAGAAGGCAGTAGAGCTCACCAACAAAGACCTGGAAGAGATGGCAAGACCAGGCAGCGACCTCTCCTATGGTTTTCCTGGGGCAAGCCGAGGCCAAGAACCTTATCCACACAGTGCACTGCCCCATCACACATCCTGCAGCTCTATCAAAATTAGAGTTTTAGCTAATGTTAATCTTTAATTAATTTTAAATTAAAATTTAATTGATCTTTAATTAAATTTAATTAATTTTAGCTAATTTTTAATTTTTCTAGGACCCTCTTTGCATGACTATACTGTACACCATAGTGTATGTGTTCTTTGCGTGACTGTACTGCACAGCACTGTGTGCTTATAGTGTTTATAAGTTTACTGTGTATGAGTACTGCATATGCATATTGTTTGTGTGACTGAATGATTTAAAGCAGTACAATAACAGTGGAATACTTTACACAAAATATGATTGAAGTACCTAATGAAATATTGCAAGTAACTTATAAGAAACATTTATTACATAAGGTGTCTTTAAATGGGGAAAAATTCCATAAAAGGTTATGTAATGATTGGCTGATGAAAGTGTTGTGAAGAGAGGCTCACAGGAACCTAAACCTGTACTGCTGTTAGGAGCAATGTTCCAGTGTTCACTAATTCAGTGTTTGTGATGAACTTACAGAACACAACTACCATGAGTAGCAAGAATTGACTGCAAGTGTGTGTATACATATGTCATGATTCAAGCCTTCATATTTCTCACAAAGACTTATGCTCAAAGGTAGACATGACAATGTTTTGTAATAGAGAACTTTTAATAAATGTTAGAGCTGCATCAATGGTCACACTCTCCCGACTATGGATATATATTTTAAAAAAAAGGGATGAGACCTTTTTCTCTCTCATTCCCTCTTCATCCCCCTGTCTACACACACACACACACACACACACGACAAATTGTCAGACGCTTGGTAGGGAACTCAGAAAGCCACACATGTATTTCTTTTTCCTTTACTACATCTCTTCATTCTTTTAAAATACTCTTGAGATGGCTTTGTAGTGTAAACATAGGCAGACCTGTTGCTGGCATTTCCCCCCAAATGCATGATAAACACGGAATCTCTCTTGTGGATGACTCTCAGGCGCAGTGCAGAACTGTAGGCTGGGTCAGTTCCTAGTATGACCCGTTAGATGACCTGCTACAAAAGGCTTTAACAGAGATGACAATTACGATGCTCCTCTTCCGTATGGGTTATCAGGTACTGAGTAAGATATTCCTCTGGCCAAAAGACTTCCCTGAATAGTTATATCCAAAAGGAAAGGTATTCACCAGCAGGAGTTCACAAACATTGATTGAAGTGAACACTTACAAAAGGCCTTCCTACATCATTTAAACTCTGGTGTGAATCTTTCGATGGTGAGTGAAGGATGAACTATGGCTGAAGGCCTTTCCGCATTCACTGCATTCAAAGGGTTTCTCTCCAGTGTGAGTTCTCATGTGTTGAGTTAAGGCAAAGTTGTCACAAAAGGCCTTCTCACATTCTTTGCACTCATAGGGTTTTTCTCCAGTGTGGATCCTATTATGCCGAACAAAATTTGCCGGCTGGGTAAAGGCCTTTCCACATTCTCGGCACACATAAGGCTTTTCTCCAGTGTGGATCCTCATGTGTCGAGTAAAGGAAGAGCTGTAGTAAAAGGCTTTTGCACATTCTTTACACTCCAAGGGTTTTTCTCCACTGTGGGTCCTATTATGTCGGATAAAAACAGAATGGTGTGTAAACGCCTTTCCACATTCACTGCACTCATAGGGCCTCTCACCAGTGTGGATCCTCATGTGTTGAATTAAGGAAGAACTGTCACAAAAGGCTTTCCCACATTCTTTGCACTCAAAGGGCTTCTCTCCAGTATGGGTCCTCTTATGCCGAACATAGGTGGAGCGGTGAGTAAAGGCCTTTCCACATTCACCGCACTCGTAGGGTTTCTCTCCAGTGTGAATCCTCATGTGTTGAGTGAAGGATGAGTTGAGGCAAAAAGCTTTTCCACATTCTTTGCACAAAAAGGGTTTTTCTCCCGTGTGGGTCATATTATGCTGGATAAAAGTGGAGCGGTGAGTAAAAGCCTTTCCACATTCACTGCACTCGTAGAGTTTCTTTCCAGTGTGAATCCTCATGTGTTGAGCGAAGGAAGAACTGTAGTAAAAAGTTTTCCCACATTCTTTGCACAAAAAGGGCTTTTCTCTAGTGTGAGTCATATTATGCTGGATAAAAGAGGAGCGGTGGGTGAAAGCTTTACCACATTCTTTGCACTCATAGGGCTTGTCTCCAGTGTGAATACGCTGGTGCTCTGTGAGGTGAGACCTGCGTTTGAAGGCCTTACCACACTCAGTGCACTTGTATGGTTTTTCCCCAGTATGAAGCCTCGTATGTCGAATGAAATCTGCCATGTAACGACAAGCTTTCCCACATTCACTGCATTCATAAGGCTTCACTCCGGCGTGAATCTGTTGATGCCTAACAAGGGCCCAATTCTTGCTAAAACCTTTTCCACATTCCTTGCATTTGTAGATGTTATTCCTTGCATCCATCACAGGGTCTTTTCCTGGTTCTTGGGAATCACGTTCATGTAGAGCATCTTGTGTAGTGACTTGCTCCTGTAAAACCCTTAAACACAGACTATCATCTGTCTCCAAATCACCATGTTTATGGCTCAGTTTCCTAGGGCATGTCTCCTTGTTGGGGTCTGCTCCTGGCCTCAAGTTCCCTTCCTGCATTTCCAACAGTCCTTCCTGATCCCTCACTTGCCCCAACCTGGAATGCCTTGAGGTGCCATGTGTCACTTGTTCCTCAAAAGGGGCTTCCTCAGTGAGGGCCAGCTGAGGAGCAGTAAGCTCTGTGGTCTTGGGTTTTGCTTTCTCACCTAAAGGAAATCCAATGTAAGAAAGATGTCTTTTAGTGATGTCAACACAGAACAAAATAAATTACCACTTTAGTGGAAGAATGAAGATGAAAATAAAGCCTTTCCTGCCTATGGCATTTTAAAACCCAGGTTTACAATTTTTTTCTTTACTAATCCTTAGATTCTTGACATCTTTAAAAGGTAACCCAGGAGGAAAAGCTGGGGCAGGGGACAGAGAATCTGGAGTGGAGACTCCTCCTCACCCCCCAGAACGGGCGAGGGGGGCAGGGTAATGATCACCCCGTGTGTAGTGACTGTGCTCCAACATCTCATGGTGCCATGACAGCACACGGAAAGTGCACCCAACCTGTCAAGATGGGAGACAGAAAGAGGTCAGTGGAGGCTACCTGGTGAAGGTGCTTGCTTCTAAAGGTGAGTAGGAATTCCCTGACAGAGGAATGAAGAGAGAGAGATTATAGCAGGTGACCAGAAGTACATAGGTTCAGGGCCTTGAAAGAATGCTGAATGCCAGGCATAGAGAAGAGGATGTCAGGATGGTGAAGAGGTAGGCAGAGACAGAGAAGAAACAAAATCTCAGAATTCTTGACTGTGCAAAAGTGGGGGAGGGTTAGAAGCAACTGGGTGGACATCCTGAGTCTACTATACCTGAGTAAAGACTAGGTGAATAGACCTAAATAGACAACATCTAGATCAAGTAAACTAAAAACGTACTGCATGAATGGAGATTTACATGAAAAAAGGGATTAATAATATAAAGTTGTCAATTCTTCTCAAATTCATCTATAAAATTTAATACAACTTCAGATAAATCTCAATAGGGTTTTTCATGGATATTGACAAGCTGATTGTGGAATTTATACAAAAGAACAGAGAGACCAGGATATCTCTGAAGAAGAATAAAGCAAGGAGACTCGCCTTTTGAGGAATAGGATTATGATGAAATTTTACGTATCAAGGCACTGTGATGTAGCACAGATGTAAGGTAAGCTGTGAAACTCTCAAAAGGGAAAAACAGAATTGGGAGCTTAAGTGTACACAGGGAACTTTGATATATGACAGAAGTAGCAGAGAGGCCAGTGGGAAAAGGAAGGACTACTCAATAAATGGATAAAGAAAAATCATTTGCCACACAAAAGAAAATGGAATTGTATTTTTACCTCACACAACACAAAAAAAATCAATTCTAGACTGATTAAGACTTAACTGCCAGTAGCTAAAGATTAGAAACTTAATAAATAGTGAAAATGACTATCTTTTAGAACTTGGGAAAAAGGAAGATTTCATAAACAGGATACAGAAAATTCACTAGAAAAGAAAAGACTAGTCAATCTGACTAAACTAAATACATTTTTTTAAAAGGCAAACAAACAAAGGTGGCTATATTAATATCAGATAACAGACTACAGAGCAAAGAAAATGAGACAAAGAGGGACATATAATGATAAAAAGATCAATCTACCAGGAAGACATAACAATCCTAATCTGTATGTACCAAATATCAGAGCCAGAAAACACACAAACCAAAAACTGAGTTGAAAGGAGAAATAGACAAAAAACCACAATTACAGCTGGGAACTTCAACATTCCACACCCAAAATGAAAACTGAGCATATTATGCACTAACATTTCCCAGAAGATATATATTGGCTAATCAACACACAAAGAGGTGCTCACACTTCTTAGATATGGGGGAAGGGCAAGACCATTTTATACTCACTTGATTGAAAAAATTTAAGAACCTGACAATAGCAGGTGTTGGAGAGGGGGTGAATCCATGGAATTGTTCATACAAGGCAGGTGAAGTATAAAAAGGTGTAAGTAACCACTTTAGAAAACAAGAGGGCATCATCCAGCGAAGTTCTCCTTTTGCTTACCTTATAATACAAAAATTCTAGTTCTAGGAATATTACTAAGAGAAATCCCTACATATGTGTGTGAGAACACATGTATGTGAATTTTCATGGCAGTACTGTCTGTGGGTACAAACAACTGGAAACAAGAAAATTCCCATGAAAATGGACGAATACATTGTGTTATACACATACAAATGACTACAGAAGGACAAAATGAGTGAACTATAGCTACATGCACCATGAACTGTCAAGTAAAAAGTGCAAATCCTGTAAGACAGCATAAACAGATACTTTTTATAATGTTCAAATAAAAAAGCAAAATACACACACATAAGTACAATGAAACAATTTTATTTTGGGGGGAATGTCTGTTTTTAATGACATAAAAATGGTATGTACAAATCTTAAATTTATTTTTTAGCATTTTTTCACTGTTGTAAAATATATGTAACATAAAATTTACCATTTTGAAATGAAACAATCTTAAAAAGCAATGAATAGACTTAAAAGACTCAAATTACCAAAACTGATACAAGAAAAAACAGGATATCTGAATAGCCTGGTATTTATTAAAAAAATTAATGTTTTGAACTGAATGTTTGTGTTCCCCACAAATTCATTATTGAAGCCCTAACATCCAACGAATATTTGGAGATAAGGCTTTATAGAAATAATTAAGGTTAAATGAGGTCATAAGGGTGGGGACTTGATCTGGGGGAATTAGTGTCCTTATAAGAAGAGACACCAGACGGCTCTCCCTCTCTCTCCCACCACCCCAGCACCACGTACTGCACTTAGAAAAGGCCATGGTCTCTCTGTCTACTTACAAGAACACTAATCCAATCATGGGGGCTCCACCCGCATGACCTCATCTAAACCCAATCACCTCCTAAAAGCCCCATATCCTAATATCATCACATTGGGGGTTAGGGAGCCAACATAGGAATTTTGGGAGGACACCAGACATTCAGTTTATAACAATGTTGTATGAGAAAAAGCATGTAAGTCAATCAGCACAGAGCATGGCAAATGTTTGGTAAATTGTAGACCATTATCTCTTCATTATTATAGTTGTTGCATTTGTCAATCAGAATGTCAACAGTGACCTGGGTGAGAACATTTTTAGTACTGCGGTTCTGAGAAGAACCATTACTGTGCCTCAAAGAGTAAAGGGGAAGATACAACCTGCTCACCAGTATGTGAAGCAATGAGGACTCCTACACATGGGAGTGGGAATGTGAAGTGGTACGAGTCACTTTGAAACTGATCAGTCATTTCTACTAAAGCCAGTCATATAACTACACCATTATCCAGCCAGCCTACTCACATGCATACTCCCAACAGAAGTCTGTGCTTACATTCAACAAAAAATATGATCAAGAATATTCATAGCAGCATTCTTCATAATATTCTGAAAATGGAGACCAAGCCAAATGTCCAACTTCAGGAAGACAGGTCTATGTAATCTATTAATTCATTGAGATACGTACAGTAAGAAGCCAACTCCAAATATATAGAACCACGTGAATGAATTCCAGGGTCGTAATGATTATCAAAAGAAGACAGACATGACAGTATGTGCTGTGGGGTTTCACTTATAAGCCTTCAAAACTAATCTATGGCGACAGAGTCTGAACACTGGTTACTTTGGTAGAAGAGGGTACTAACAAGGAAGGCGCACAAGAAGCCTGTGCGGGGCTGGAAATATACTTCTTGACCTGTGTGGTGGATATTCTGGTTTATATTTATGTAAAAATTTCATAATGATGAATCTTTAAAATTTGTACATTCATTATGTGTAAATTATACAAAACCTCAGTACAAAAATTAAAAAATAGGAAAGGGGAAGTCTAGGAGTCAGGTGTAGATATCTCTTCTGAGAAGGAGAAAACTCCCCCAAGAAGCGTGGTTGTTCAGGTGAAATAGAGTCAACAACGTTTAGATGTTGCTGGAGAGCAGAGTATTTTTTAATGTTTCCCCCAAGTGTCAGAAACTTACACTGTGATTTTTACGTTGAATAAAGAGAAGATGGAGACATAGAAGAGATAGGAAATAAATGAAGAACCATGTTCCCAGATATAGTGGAGAGACTCATGTATGCCTTCCCATAATCCCTGCCTCATCATGTTCAGTTTTATAATCACCTCTGCCTGAATCCTAGCAGGACCTTGATTTGCTTCTAAAGAATAGAACGTGGCGAAGGTGACAGAATAATGTAAGATGTAAGAGATAAAGTCCATGTGTAGCATCCCTCTTGTTGGAGTCTCTCCCACCATCACTTGATTTGAAGAAGTAAGCCGACATGCTGTAAGCACCAATGACTGCAGCTTTGCAGAGGACCCAGCTAACTTGTGTCTGGATTTCTGATCCACAGATGAGAGAGAATAAATGAGTGATATTTTAATATTGAATAATGAATGACTTTTAATGTTGCTATACAGCAATAGATAACTAATACAGCTGAGAAGGTAGGTGAAAGTGTGATCTAGGCTCTGCTGGGAATTAGCCATAGCTGGGGATGAGAACTCTTCCACAGAAGTGAGCATGAAGCTGCAGGGATAAGGCAGCTAAGGGTTAAAGAGCAAGAAATCAAGTGAATAGCCTTTATTTTCAAAATGAACTAGGTCATATGCTGAGATGTCAGTGGCTAGGGAAGTGGTGATATCTGGAACAAGATGTGAGTGGACAGGGAAGCAGATGTAAGACACAAATCTGGTCAGAGGCACAGAGCAGATACGGGGGGACCAGTTAGGAATTTGTTAGCATCATGCAGGCGAAAGATGAAGGGTGATAATGCCAAAACTGATGGAACTGGGAGAGGTGATGGATTCAGGAGATCTGTATGATGAAAAATGGTCAAGATTCAGCGATGGCTGGATATTGGGTGTGATGAAGATGAAGGCATTGAGGGGCCGTCCAAGTTTGTTTTTGGCTTTTTCAACTTATTGAATGGCATGGCTATTAACTAAAATGGGGAGATGAGAAGAGTGGGCAAGATCACAAGGTCCTTTTCAGGCACGATGGCTGTGAGGTGTCTTTGAAACATTCAAGTGAAGATGGAGAACTGTAGAAAGAGGTGAAGGTTTGAGACACACTCTGTGGGGCTGAGGAGGGGATGGCCAGAGATACTCCCTGGCTGGCTGAGCAGCCTGAAGGAACCCTAGAGGGGAGAGATCTTGAATTGCATTGGCGCTGTCCACAAACTGGATGAGGGGCTGACATGGGCAAATGTCCCCTTGAGGTTTTACACGACAGGAAGGCAAGAAGATGTTAAAGCTAGGGACTGCTTCTGAATATCTGATTTACACGTGGAAGGATGGATGCATGCAGGGATGTATAGTAAATAAATGACTGGATGGAGGTGGAAAAGGGTGAGATGCGAAGTATAGCTGGAGGTAATCTGCAGAAGAAGAAAGGACTGTCTTTCTTGAATCTGGGGGGATTCTGGAGATATCACTACTCACTATGCATTATGACTAATAACACTTGAATATTACCAGTAGGTAGCTTTTGTTAAGCCACTTACTTTGAGTCAGGTAGTGTGCTTATAAGCAGTTTCATGCTATCCAATTCATTCCCAAACAATCCAATGATGCAGGAACTATTATTATTATCTTTTTCTAATGTAGGCTAAGTTTAGCAGACTGAATATATGTTCATCATATCCCTGCCCTTTTCTCCTTGGACATAAAGCTAAACCACATTTCCCAATTTGATACAAAGTACAGCCTAATGCCCAGTTCTTGTCAATGGAACGTGAACGGAAGTGATTATGTGTGCAAGTGGACGTGACTACTCCCCTTCTCTCCTATTCCTCTTGGCCAGTTGGATGATGCCAGGGCAACCTTACAGCCACATACTGACAACAGAATGCACCTGGGTCCCTGAATGGATACGTGGTACAGAGCTCCTCTGCTGACCCACATTAAACCATGGCACAAATGAGGAGTAAACTCTAAATCTGTTGACGCACCAAGATTTTGGAGATTATCTCTTATAGCAGGAAGCATTAATTCAGCCTAACTTGTACGTCAAAGGTGCAGTGAGATCATGCAGCTTCTCCAGAGTTATGAGGCTGGTGAGAGGCCACACGTTTAGAGACTGTCTCTTACCCACATTTTAACCCCAGTAAAGGTAAAGAGTGTGATGGGAGTGGGAAGATAGGGAAACACAGTTCAAAGTGCTCCAGTGACCACTCAAGACCCCAGGAAGGCCACAAAAAGAAACTGCCCATGGAATGTCAGACACTGATTCCTTGGTAGTCTGCCAGCTACCATGCGACCCACCTGAATAGGTGCTTCTGGAGAGGCCTCTCTTCACTGTCCACAGTTCTTGCCCGTGCTCTGGCAGGTGAATCAGCTCTAGTTTGGGAACAGGATGGCCTGTGCATGGAGAAATAAATGAGGCAGGGGTATATAAAGAAAGAAGAATGGAACAGTGTCAAGTGTACAGCCGTGTACACCTCTAACACAATGCCATGAAACCCCAGAAAGGGGACCCCTCCTTCCAGAGGGTTTTCCCTGATTAAATCAGCAGGATTCAACCTTCCTCATGTTTCAGAACTACCAAGACATGTCTGGTTCGGACCACAACAAATTAAACCAAATCTCTGGGCATAAAGACTGAGCACTGGTTGTTTTGAAAGCTTCCCAGGTGATTCTGGTGCCCAAGGATGGCGAAACACACTGGACTAAATCAACTGATAGTCAGTGGCCTGAGGTAGGCCATGACCTAACACTGCTACACATTCTGAAGAAAAAGCCTTCAATCCAGACTGGGAAGACAGGGCTGATGTGGGGACCTGCTGCCCTAGTTGCTGCTGCATCATCCTGTGGCCATGTCAAGGACGCTGGCCTGATGACCTGGACCAAGGAGAGAAACAGCCACTTCAGGGCTTCTCATTAGGTGAAGTAATCAACTTTTCCCAGAGTGAAACCAGTATGAGGTGGTTTTTGCAACATGTAACCAAACACATCTTGCCAAATGTGAAGACTTACAGACAGGAGAACTCTGGAGACAAGTCAATAGTTTTGGCACCAGGACCCACAGAAATTTTGCCTAGAAAATCCTGTACTTCAAGCCAGATGCACCCAGTTGTCACTTAGCAAATGTTCACAGCGGTCTGCTACATGCCTGGCACCGAGCTCAGGGATGGGGTGGTGGAAAAGGTAAACCAGATCTTTCTTTGTCTCCATTAAGGACTTGAGCTCCTTGCCCCCTCAGGGACTTGGCTGGTGTTGGTGTCTCCACCTGGAATACCTGCTGTGCAGGTACCAGGGGTCAAAGAAATCTAGACTGTGTTGGTCAGAAAGATACCAGTAGCACTGATGACAAATAGCTTCCTGTCTGTCTAATTCAACCACTTCTTGGAGAACCTCCCATTAACACCAGGTCCTGTTAACTGGGCTGTGAGGACAGTGGACCCAACCAAGCTGAATTCCAGATTATGAGAATCTGGAATAAGGAAGGATGTCAGACTGAGGTCAGCTTGGGTTGGACACTTGGGTAAAAGTGTTGAGGAGAACTGTTTGTTATACAACAATCCGCGATGCAGACACAAGGAAACCAAGCAAGAGAAGGTTAGACTAGAACATGCTGGGGCTGTGGGGAGAAAGGAAGGCAGGTTCCTGGGGTCTTCTCAACCAGCCATGCTGAGAGAGAGGGAGGAATGAAAGAGGCTGAGGGTACTACTTGGAACAGAGATGAGGCCTTACCCAGTGAGACCAGGAGGCCACAAGTCTCCAGCATCACTTCCTGGTATAAGGTCCTCTGGGCTAGGTCCAGATGTCTCCATTCCTCCCCAGTGAATGTTATGGCCACATCTTCAAAAGATACCAGTGCCTGGAAAATCAAACAGAGGTAGTGGGGTAGCTGTATGACTATTAGATGAGATTAGAGCCTACTGCTTGGTTAATGGTAAAAATCCAGAGAGATCCAAGGTCTGAATCACTGGGTATCTCCTGAGGACCTAGCTCTGTGCTGGGCTCAGGAGGGAGGGAGATGGTGCCTCTGACAGAATACAAAGGTGTGTGAGAGAAAAGCTGCCTATATGGGAATCTGCTGGAGAGTGACACAAAACTATGATAATCCCATGTAGACTGTGAAGAATAGGGAAAAAAATAATTCAGGTAATGGTAACAGTAGCAGAAGCCGAGCCTCACTGGTTTGCACTGCTTGCCTGCACCTAAGGGCTTCAGACACTGTGTTAAAGCAACTAAAATTCTCTAGGTCTGGAGCCAGACTTTCCAGGGTTTAAATCCAGCCTTTTGAACCAACACATACTAATTTCTTTGAGCCTCAATTTCTACATGAATACAATAATAGTTCCAACTTCACCAAGTTGTTGTGGGAATTAAAGCAAAAATGTTCATTACTTATTATTTATGTCTTAGATGATTGATTTATTGAGTATGTGTTATTACATTTGACTGTCTTTTATGATTGGATTATGGCATTCTGTTGATTCTTATTTTGTGGTTGGCTTTATTCCTTTGATAACTATGTAATTTAAAAAAGCTAAAGCTCTAAACTGTTTTAGAAACAAAGAACAGTACATATATGTGAATTAAATACTGTATATAGAAATAAAATATTATGTTTACAAGAGAAAATAAAGCAAAAATGTTCATAAAGTAAATACCACAGTGCCCAGCAATGTCAGTGTTCAGTTGTGTTTGTGAATTTCATTAATTCTCCCACAACCAAGGAGGTAAACAACATCACCATCTTTATTTCACATCAGCAAACAGGGGCTCAAAGCCAAGCCGCACAGAGTCACATGTCTGATGAGAAGGGGCAAGATTTGAACATAGGTCCCTCTGGTCCAGCCATGGTGGGGGAGGACAGTTAGATTTAATCTAAGTATGGTGGGAGCCCCAGAGGGAGAATCTTTCATTCATTAACCACTTATTGAACACCTGGTACAGGCCCAGCAGCTTTAAGCCTGGGGAGAGAGCAGGAGCTCACACTCTGGGCTTAGGGAAAGATTCTCAACAAGAAACTAAGTAAACGAGCAAGATAAAGTCATATGACCCTAAGGCCTCTGAAAACAAACAAACAAAAGAGAGTAAGATGACTACAAAGATTAGGGGAGACTTTAGATGGGGCAACTGGGGAAGATCTCTTGAAGGGGACACTGGAACCAGGATGGAATGAAGTTAAGGAGAAAGCCAGCTGAGGAAAAATGGATAAATAAGAGAAGTCCTGAAGGTGATTAGAGCTATGATGAAAGGAAACAGGTTGGCATGCTGAAGAGTAATTTAGGGCCTGTTCTTTGGTTTACATCCCACAGACGTAACATTGCTATGCACTGTCATTAATGAATATTGCAATGGATTCACTTTTCAAATATATGTAAATGTATTAGGAAAACTGATTCACTGCGTAAGTGGCAAGCCAACTTCACTTGTAGTACTCAGATGGCATCTGCAGAGAGAAATCCAGTGACTATCCTATCTTCCGGCTTATCCAGGGAACTTTCACTTCTATTAGAAGAGCAGCAGTTCCAAAAACGCTGCTCCCACAAACTTCTGCTCTCAAGGCTCTCTCATCCCTTCTCCCCGCTTTCAGCTGGGTTGAGGCCTGAGGCAGGGAGGCATGAGGGTCACACTATGCCTGGGGTGAGTCTAAGATAATATAGTAGGACCAGGAGAGTCTCTCTGCGAAAACCACATCCAGAGTGATGCTTTCTGGGTCGTGCTAAGCACTGAAGGATACACGTCACACGCTTACCCTCTCCAGTTCCCTCAACTAAGAGAGAAAAATTGTTAATATTCCGATTTTAGACCCGAGGGAATGGAGGCCAAGAGCAGAGAATCGACAAGCTCAAGGAAAGAACCAGAAATGGGCGCCTCTCTTTATAATCCCTGGCCTGGAATGAGAACTCTGGGTTGGATGTGATTAGAACTGTTGCTCCCAAACCCCATTCTCACAGATCCTCCAGACTCAATAGTATTAAGAGGAGAAGAATCCTGAGATTCCCAGTAACACAGCGAATGGAACTGTGCGGACGGCGACCCCAGCGCATGTGAAGTTGCAGAAACCCTCCACTCACCAGCGCCCGCCCCGCCATGGGGCCCAGTGGGCAGTGCTAGACCGCGAGAGGTGGCGACAGAGGCCGGTCCAACGGGCTCAGCCGACCCCTCAGACCAGCCGTGGGCGGGGGCACCTGGGACCTGTCTCCTCGGTGTAGGAGGCGCACAAGGCCCAGGGCGCCGCCTCCGGGAGCTGCGGGGACAGAGGACTGGGGCCGAGGCTCGGAGAGCGAACCGCGGCAAACCCCGCAGCAGGCGGGGTCACGGCTCACACAAAAGCGTGGAAGTGGGCCCTATTCTCCTCACTGTCCTTTGCTCGGTCTCGAAGACCTTTTTCTGAGAAGCAGCCACCGCCCGGTGCCCCAGCCAGGAAGGCCGGTAATGACAGACCGGCCACTTCCAAACGACGCCCGATGACCGGACGCCACTAGTCTCGCCCAAGCTGCCGAAGGCAGCACACCCTCGCTGTCCGTCATTGGCTCAGCACCGCCGCCAACGTTCGAAGCACTGCCTTCTGGGTAGTGTAGTTTCTGGCTGCATCCTGGTGAACCGGCCGCACACTTCCAAAGACAGGGCAGGGCTTCGCTTCTTCTTAAAGGCACACGTACAAATTTCCGTGGCCCTTCAGGCAACACCCCGCCCTTATAGGTCTCTAACACTTGCCTCCGCCTTCTGCACTATATATTCCTGTCCCAGCATTTCACCAGTCTGAGTCAGGATTTACAATGAAAAATGAAGATTATTCTTTAGTAGTGCAGTTATTTGAAAAATTTCCCCCTAATCGATGGTTTCCAACCCACAAATCAGATCAGCATTACCTGGGAATTTGTTACAAGTCCTCAGGTCCCCCTAAAGAACTACTGAATCACATACTCTGGCGTGGGACCCAGTCTGCGCTTAAACAAGCCCTACAAGGAATTTTAATGCTCCAACACAGCTGAGAACCAGATTCTTTAAGTTCCGGAGAATAATTCAGACAAAACTACCTACTTCATAGGAGACAACTAAAAAGTGCACTAAGCCTGGAACATAATGATAAGTACTTAAGAGCTATTGCTGTCAATATTATTACTTTATATTAATATTATTGGCAGTGTCTTCACAAGGATCTGGCATACACTGCTGTGAGAGTAAATCCGATATACTTCTTTGCAGAGTCATTGGTGATATTTGTCAAAATATGAAATATATTGACTCTGACTCAACAAGAAGCCTCTTAAGTAGTGTTTAAGATTTTCACTTAATATAGCGTTGTATCATTAGGCTCATTTTTTTTTTTAACGGCACATGCTGTAGGGTTTCATAATCTATAGGTAGACCTATTGTGCCAAAGGGATACTTCCTTACAGGCTCCATGATTTGAAATTTGGCATCATTAGGACTGCCTACAGGCCTAAGTAGAGAGTAAACCTGACATGGTTTCTAGTTTGTTACTTAAGGTGATATGTTATTTTTCATCTTTAGTTCATAGGAACCAGTACTTTTCACCCCTCCAGTCCTCAGGGCAGCCAGGTACAAATGAATGATCATGAGACAGTTAAGTCTAACGTCCAGTGACTCAGAGTCACCTGGTTTTGTCCTCATCATGGCTGTCAACCCATCACCCAAACTTGCAGTCCACAAAAAGACAATAAATCCTGGGGGTTGTGAGAAATGAAAACTCTAGTTAAATCCAAAGAGGAATCTTCAGGATGGAGAAGAAATGAGAAAACATAATCACTTCTGCCCACAACTCATTCAAGTGATCCCCAAATAGACTGATGAAAACCCAGTCAGTTTCTAGCACAATCCTTTAATTCGGTCATCAGGTATCCTTTTCATTATTTATCGGTGTTACAGCTCAGTTGCGACAGGGACCTGAATTCTGGGGAGAGACCAAGCATCACTGGCAAAGTTGGAGAACTCAGGTTTATTACACAAGCAGGCCCACAGGAGTTAACACTTCAAGCTCTGGATCCCGTCTGTAGGTTTACACAGGCCTTTTATAGGCTGCCAGTTTTACACTTTGCAACATCATATGCAAATAAAGTACAACAGAAGTTGACCAACCAGGAACAAGCTTTGTAGAACTAGACCAATCAGGAGTGTGCTCCATGCAAATGAAGTACTGCAAATGGACCAATCAGAAGTGAGAGTAATAACCAATCAGGAGTGAGAGTAATAACCAATCAGAAGTGAGAGTAGTAACCAATAAGGAGTGAGAGAAATAACCAATCAGAAGTGAGCTCAGGGAACCAATAGAATTCTAGGTGTAAGTTAGCCGCTTTAGAGGCAAAAAGTGAGATAGAGCCTCTGGGCCAGGGAACCAGACGGTGCTTAAGAGGAGGCAGCGGCCGTGCCTAGGGGTCCTACCGTCTTTTTATGGGGCTTCCTGCCTCACTCTAAGATCAGGAAGATCAAGACAAAGCTAAAAATGGTCTCCACCCAGACCTGATGTATAATTCTAAGTCAGGGACATGATGGAAGGGCATAAACTGCTGGGGAAAAAACCCTGCTGAGATTTCTATGCACAGCAAAGTACCTTCCAAGAACAGTGTGCAATAAGACTATTTAAGGACAAAAATGTGAAAGTAATGGAAAAATAACCCACATAAAACGACAACCTAAAGATTGTGTTTAAAGTCAAAGTAAGGTAATTCCAGTTGAAAAGTCTGCAATGATAAAAGCAATAAGGATCCAAGAAAGGTGTGTTTGTGGACTTATACAAACACTTATTAGTCATATGAAATAATTGTATTTCCTTTTAGAGGTAGAAGGATGAAATTATCACACATATCCTCAATAACACATAAATTAATATAGGGAAATTGTTCTAAATCTACTCTATCATCCAAGTAAAGGTGAAGGAATTTATAAATCTATACTTTAATATGTTAAAGATCTAAATAGATGGAAAGATATTTTGTGTTAATGAATTGGAAGACTGACATAATAAAGATATCAAATCTCCCCAAACTGATATATAGTTTTAATACAATTCCTATCAAACTAACAGCAACATTTAAAAAGTAAATATAGACAAGATTATTTTATGAATTATATGTAAAGACAAAGGAACTAGAATAGCTAAAGCAGTTCTGAAAAATAAGAAGGAAGTGGGGGGAATCACTCTACCTGAAACTATAGTAATCAAACTTGTGAGGTACTAGTGAGGGATTGATACAATGATCAGTGGAACAGAATTTGGAACCCAGAAATACCCTCAAACAAGTACAGCCAACAATATACGGTGAAGGTGCTCAAAAACAATTCAGTGGAGAAATGACAGTCCCTTAAATAAATGATACTGGAGCAAATGAAATTCATAGCCTAAAAATATGCACTTCACATGCTATACAAAGTTTAACACAAAATAGATCACACTGAAATGCAACGTGAAAAACTATAGAATTTTAGGATGTAGGAAAAAAAAATCTTTGGGATCTAGGTTTGCTGAAGAGTTCATAGAGATGACACCAAATGCACACTATGTACAAGGAAAAAAATCAATAAATAGGACTTCATCAAAATTGTAAAATTTTGCTTTGAGAAAGACCCTTTTAAGATTTTTTAAAAAGCTAAGGCCGGGAGAAAATATTTTCAAACTACCCATCTGACAAAGACCTCATACTAAAATATATAAATATTGCGGAAAAGAATATAAAAATGAATATATGTGTCAACTGAAATAAATGCACAGCCTAAAAGTTGAGAGTTATGTTTTATTTGGCGGGAGGACTCGAGCCAGGATGACAGCCTCTCAGATGCTCTGGGGAACTGCTCCGAAGAGGTAGGGGAGGAGCTAGGATATATAGGAGCTTTACAACAAAGACCAGGTAGTTGGAACAATAAAAGACTAGTTGTCATCTAAGGAAAACCAGGCATCTCAAGTTAAAGAATTTAGTGCTTTTCTAGGTATGGGGGGAAGCAAACATTTGGGCTCATTGAATTCATTCCTTTGACAAGCATCTAGCTATCTAGGGCCGGTATCCTGTCCTTTCTTATTCTGAGTCCCCTCAGGGGGAACCATCGTGAGAGGCTGCAGAGGCTGGGCTGCAGGCCTGTCCTCACTGGGGGGTGGTGGCAGCTGCTGATGACTTGGTTTCAGCATTCTTTGTTTACTGATATGGTTGCAGTATTTTCGTTCACATATGTATGTTCATGTATGACTGAAGCATTATGCTGTACATCAGAAATTGACACAACATTGTAAACTGACTAGATTTCAATAAATATGTATATAAAATCTATAAATACCACATTAAAAAAGCACAATTAGAAAATAGCAAAAGGCAACAAGAGACACTTCATCAAAGATGATAGACAGACGGCAAGTAAGCACATGAAAAGTTCAACATCACTAGCCACTACCATTAGGTAAATGCAAATTAAGACCACAATGAAATATCCCTATGTATCTGTTAGAACAGCTTAAAAAAAGGAACCATACCAAATGCTGGTGAGATTGCAGAGAAACTGGTTTCTCATCCATTGTTGGTAGGAATATAAAAATTGTACAGCCACTCCTGAAATTAGTTAAGCAGTTTCTAACAAAAGAATAAAAAATGCACTTCCATGTAATGATTCAGGAATTGCAAGCCTGGGCATTTATCCCAGAAAAAAAAAAACTTATGTTTGCATAGAAATTTGTACACAAATGTTCATAGCAGCTTTATTCATAACAGTCTTCGACAGGATGGAAGGGGGCAGGGCACAGCCATTCAAGGAATGCTACAACCATTAACATCAAAATGGTGAAAGATTCAACCCCTAGTAAGCCTTGAGGCTCAAGATGATGGGAGATTTAACTTCTAGTAGATCTTGAGCTTCATTATACACTCATTGTAATATATTAACATGGTGAATAACACGCCCACAGGCACCATGGCAGTCCCAAGGCTAGCCACAAAAGGTCAAAGAGTGGGAAATGGCCAACTTCCTGGGAATCCCAGCCCCTTCCCCTTAGACTGGTCCTTCCACTTATTAGCATATGAAGCCACCAAGCCCATAAAAACTGGCAACATGGTGCCTCGGCTGCCCTCTCTCTCCCTCTTCGGAGATGGCCCACATTCTGCCTACGGAATGTGTACCTACTTTTAATCTGAGCACCCAACCCCCACACCTCGTGGCCTTTCTCTTGCCTTTCAATGTATCTTTCTGAATAAATCTACCTTTACACAACTGTGGCTCGCTCTTGAATTCTTTCCTGCGTGAAGCCATGGACCCAACTTGGCAGGGCATGTCCCGGGGGCTCAACCGAAGCCTAGAACACAGCCCTTCTCACGCCCCACATCCGTTTTTCCTGCATCAGTCTCAAATTGGAAATGACCAAAATGTCTCTCACTAAGTGAACGGTTAAATAAACTGTGGTACATACACATCATTGAATCATCTCAACAAGAAAAAAGAAAAAATGATTAATACACATTACTTGGATGGATTTCAAAGGCATTATGGTGAGTGAAAAAAGCCAATCCCAAAAGGTTACATGTGTATGATTCCATTTACATATCATTCTCAAAATGACAAACTATAGAAATGAAGGAAATAGAATGGTTGCCAGGGGTGAGGGATGTTGGGTATGGGTGTGCATGTGTATGAATCATATTTTAATTTTCTGTATTATAATTTTTTGAAATCTTAAAAAAGTCTTTCTGGCTGAGGAGAAACCACCCCTCCCAGGGTTGGCTAATTCTTACGGATAGCAAAGCACTTGGCTCAGAACATGCAAACTACCCAATCCAGAGCCACACCTCCTCTATCTGCCTGTGTGCCCAGGAAGCAATATTCTTTTGCTTTAATTATTCCAGGACCAGGTGCCAGGCAACCAGGTCCCACCTCTATACCTTAGGGTCTGCTGAAATTATTCAAACTTAGCTGAATATAAATTGTTTACTCTGTCCTGTCTTGCCTTTCTCACAGAAACCCCAATAAAATCTGTGGCCTAAACCTATCTCTTGATTTTGCTTCTGTTTCCTGACCCAAATGGGGTGTTCCTCCTGTGGCCCTGCATGGCATGCCATTCGTCTCGTTTCCAGGCGAACTATGAGTAACACTGTACTTTTCTTTCAGTGGCATTGACCTTACTGTGTTGTCACTCAGCCACCTTTAAAAATTAAGACCTAGGCACAAAACAGTGTGTGCACAAGTAGGTGGAGGGGAGAGAGAGAGAGGCTACAAAGGGACAGCACACAAGGCCGACTTTTGTGATGACAGAACAGCTCTCCATCTCGATTGCAGTGGTGGTTACACAATTCTATGCACGTGATGCAGTGATGTACTATTACACACACACATAATGTATGAGGGTTAAATTCCTGGTTTTGATATTTTATAATTACCTCTACTCATATTTCAACTTTTCAGTATCAACTCTATGATGAGTAATGAGAGTGGAGAACTGTCTAAAGAATCCCCCACATTACCCCACTCATAATGCCTTTTTCCAGTATGATTCTTTGGTGCTGACCCAATGTGAAACTGTAGCAGGCTTTTCCAGATTCACTTCACTTGCATTGCCTTTGCACACTGGGAAAAGCCACTGCGCACTTGGTGCTCCTATGAGGCTCCTCCTCTGCCATCCCACAGGGCACTCCCCTGTGAGTGACCTGATGCTGGAGAAAGCCTGATGTGGCTGAGCAGCCCTTCCCAATCTCCCTGCATTTGGAAGTCTTCTCTGATGTGTTGTCTCTGCACCTCTTCACAAAGGAGGCCCTGCCCTCTTCCCTTCTGATGGACTCCTCAACATTCTGCTGCATCTGTTGCTGGCGAACGTTTACACTAAATCAGAACCGTCTCCACATACCACATAAGGGTGTGGTCTCTGCCCTGGGTGTGTGGCTTGGTATCCAGCCAGGTGCTAAATGTCTTTCAAGAGTAGACCATGTATGTCACAGGGGTAGGTCTTCTGAGTGGACAGACCTGCCTTGGGATTCCTAACATGCGACACTCCTACTAAACTCGGAAGGGGACCCTCCTCACCCTCCACTCCATGCCAAAACACTGAAAGCAAAGACATGCTGGAGGAATTCTTGTTAACTTTGGTGAGTGGAAACAGCCCTTCACAAATGTATGCTTGACCCAGGCATACAAATGTATGATGCATGGGAACTGTTGGGAAGATGAGGCTGCTGAGGTCAGGGTAAGGAAGGGATGCTGTGCACTAGTAAGCCTCTAAATGTCACAGAATCTAGGAGAGGCGTTAATAGTGCCATGTCCTTGCTAAAGCCAAGGATGCAAGGATGGAGCACAGAACTGGATGGAGAGGCAGGGTCTCCAACTTACTTCTCTGTAAACGCTTTTCAGCAGGGCCTTGGCTGCTGGTAACACACGAACCCTGTGTGGAACTATGTGTCCAGACCCAGGAAAATCTGATTACATTTTTAATCACAGTAACTGCAGGCCAACGTTGGAGAGCACTGCAGAGTGAGTAGTGGTGAGGGTGAGGCATGGAGACCACAGGGAGTGGGGCCCAACGTCAGAGTAGAAATAACAAGTGGTAAAGTTTTAAGAACGGGGAAGGAATGATATGGAGGAGGTATGGCCATTAGCTTTGGAACACAAACAATGGTGAACGGGGGACAGGTTGCTGGTGTGATCTGCACCGAGTCCTGACGTTACGCTGTCCCCCAGCTCCTCCTTAGCAAGGCCAGACCCCCTCTAACACCTCTTGCCACAGCTGCAGTAATGTCTGCTCTGCTCAGGCACACAGGACTCTCCTCTCATCTTCCGTTGGAGTTACCCAGGGGAACTACTCTACCACAGACGATAGGAAAGAAAACTTAAATGAAACAAAATAAAGCAAACAAACCCCTATGAGGAATGTCTTGCAGGAACAATCCAGTGGTCCCAGCCAAGTAGTGACCATGTCAGTGCCTGTAATTCCTGGCATAGCTAGAACCCAGGAAACGTCAGCTAAAAAGGGGAGCAGAACCCAAACCATCAAACTGTCCCAGGACAAGACTACCATCTGAGGAGGGAGTGGCCAAGCCAGATGGGAGCCACTGGGCTGATCTCAAGACTAATGACCCTCGGCCCCTTATCTGCAAGCTTCAGGGTGGCAGTGGTTGGGGCAGGCAGAGAAATGCTCTGCTTGGAGTCATGCAAAGAGCTGGGCCCTGGAACCCATGGCATATATGCCAGGAGAGTGGGGAAGGAAGAAGAGCCAGCTGTGGGAATGAGAACTACCCCTGGGGAGAAAGGGACAGGCAGAACAGCCCAGGCCTTACCCAGTGAAGCTAAAGGCGCATAGTTGTCCAGCACCACTCACAGTACAGGATCCTCTGAGCCTCATCAAGCGGTCATCCTTGCCTCCAGGGGAAATCAAACAGTGAAATCCTCAAAGGTCACACAGCCCTTTTTGTGGGGGCAGTTGACTCCATGATCAGCAGGGCCCCAGTCCATCCTCCCATACATCCATCCCATGCTCAACCTCTTCCCCAACTTCCCAATTCAGAGGAGATACCAGACACTGGTGCCACTGGTGCCCACTTTCAACTCATACCCCAATGATCACTGTGTTAACCCACAAAGACAACAGACAGGTAGGCAGATAGACACTAACTAAACTCTGGGCCTGGTATGCAGGGTATTTTAAGATGTACCTGGGATTTGTTTTATTCAGGTACGGTAAGATGACTGGCATGGAGAAAACTGTCTTCCAAAGAAGAGTTTATTACTTACAATTCCCAAGGGGAAGGAGCGTGGTAGGCCATGCAGGGTCACATGGAGAGGCACCAGGGCTGGTCAGGAGGCAGAAGGAATGAGGAGAAAGCCAGAGCCAGAGGCTACTGTGGTTTTTGCAGGGAGGAATGGGCAAAGCAGGGTAGGTAAGCTGAACAGGTTTTAGATTAAAGTTTGAATAATTTTGGTAGGTTCTGGGCTATGGCATGGTATCCAGTTGTCCTGGCTCTGGCTCTGGGATGATTTAGGGCAGAGGGACAGTGTCCCAGACTGCAGCAGCCTGTTAAAGGAGGTAGGTGGGAGTACGGACCTAGATTGTTAGTTTGCATATCAAAGACTTGCTCATAGGTAACTTGTTTAGCTTCTGGCGTTTGAGGCAATCCCTGGTGTTCCGTGGTTTATGGACACATCACTCCAGTCATGGATCCTTTTCTCATCTGTGCTGCACATTCTGTCCATTCATCACCAATGATCACCGGGACAAAAGCCTGGTATGTCCACAGAGTGGTGAATAAGCCCCAGCCCAGGCCTTATTGTAATTTTACTTCCATTCCTGCTAAACCTCAGAGTCCATCTCAGATCCATTCCTCCTTGGAATATCTGGCCACCTGCCAGACCCTGATCTCCCCCACATGCACCCCTTCTGGCCACTGTTTTCCCTCTCCTGTCCTTGTGATGACCACTCTCACCCATTTGCCCAAGCAAGATAATCAATCAGTCCTCGGGCCCCACTTTCTCCTTTCTTTCCCTGCTTTCATCGCCACCATGACCAGAAGATTCCTCCTCCTAAATCTAACCCACATTCGACACTCATCCACACACCAGATGCCCCATTTTGGATGCTTGTAACCTGAAAGCCTCCCCAGCCCAGCATAATTGTGTGTCTAGTCCTGCCTATTCTTAACCTCCACTCAGGGGTCTCTGGAACATCAGACTCAACATGGCCAAAACCTAATTTGTACCATTTGGCTCCTTTGAACATTTTTATTCTTAAAAATAGATCATGAAGAAGGGTTTCATAACTACCGGCAGGCCTATTGTCTAGGAGATGAATTCTTATAGACCATGTGATTCAACACTTGAGAACATCATGTCTCACTGCCCTCAGGCCAAAGTGGAAGTGGAATTGACATGATTTCAAGAATGTGACAGCAGTTGACAAGTCATTGTTCATCTCTAATTCTTAGGATCATTGCCTCCCTCCTCCCTCCCCTCTGGCCCTCAGGGCAGCCACACTGGGTGTAAATATCTGACTAGTGATAGCACAGTCTGATGAGCAGCGACTCAGGGTCACCAGGTATTGCCCTCATCAGGACTTATCAGCCCATCACCTGAACCTGCAATGGCAAGTGTCAATTAAGTATAAGGGCAGCTGGGTGTCCAGGAAGAGGAAAAGGGGTTGCCTAGCACCTAGCCAGTTTCCAGCACAACCTATCAATTTGGCCACCAGATGCCTGTTGTATTATTTCTCCTACATACGTAATATTCTTATCCTTTTTATGTGACAATCCCAAAGCTCATTCAATCACTGCCTCCATTTCAATGTTAGAATTTCTGTTCCTAACCTAACATCAGATGTGGAGGCTATGAACATGTAGCTGTGGTTCAGGGACACAGTGGAGGGACCTATTCACATTGCTGAAGCAATAACTGCTAACCCAACTTTCTAAACACGGCAACAGGGTTTCTGAAACAAGAGTATGAAACGAACTACTTCATGTCATAAATGAGAAATTTAATGTAAAATTAACTTGCATAAAATGAACTTCTTATTTGAGGATTTTCTGTTTAATTATGATGAAAGGTCATCCCAGGTGAAAGATCTGCGATGATAGAAGAAATGAGGATCCAAGAGAGAGGTGCATCTGTGGATTTAAAAAATGCTCATTATCAGCATAAAGCATGAATAATATTCCATTACGATGATAGAATCATCATGTACAGCTTCAATAACATATACGTATTGAGATGGGACAGCTTGATTAATGTTGTAAGTCTCCTAACATTGTGCAGGAAGAAGGTAAAGTATTTGAAACTCTTTGTTCCATTATGTTAAGTAAGTGTTTCTGACTTTCAGCTTAAGCAATACTACGAATTAGAGTATACACTGCCAAACTAGAAGAAAGAAAATTTGGACTGTTAATAAGCAATCAAAAGGAATTAAAAAGTTATCACCTAAAGAACAGTGAGGCAAAGGAACCTACAAAATAAAAGGATATACTTAAAGCCAAATACATCAACTATTACACATTAGATGAATATGAGAGAAATGTTCCAGTTAGCATGATCTTTATTGGCTCCAAATACCCTTCATGAGGGATATAATTTTCATAGTGAATTTGAAATTTCATTCAAAGCACAACTAATTCCATGGACAGACAAATGGATAAAGAAGATGGGACACAGAGTATAAAATGGAGATATTGATGGAGGCTCTTTCCACCTGAGCCCTGAAGAAAATGTATATTACTCTTACTCATTATGACGAATATTATTGCACACATAATTCCAATACAAATAGCTAAATTTTTTGAACCACTGACTATGTGTGAGGCACTATGCTATGCTGTTTACATATTTTCTAGTTACATCCTCAAACAAGCCAATGAAGTAAAATGAGCCAGTGTCATTTCTATCATTTCCTAAATGTAGGCTGAGTATAGCAGACCAAGTAGATGTTTACCAAACCCACCTGGTCTTCTCCTTGGGCACACAGCTTAACTATTTCCTGCCTCTGAGAATTCAGGTGTGGCCAAAGCCCTGGTTTTTGTCAGTGGAATGTCAATGTGGTGGAAATGGCAATGTTATGTGTACAAATAAGTATGACTTCTTTCATTCCTCTCTCATCTGTCCCCTCTGCTAGGCAGATAATGCCAGGAAAGCCTAAATTAAGCCACATATTGACAATAAAAGGTACCTGGTTCCTTGAATAATTGTGTGGTACAGAGCTTCTCACTGACCTACAGATCTTGGCATAAATGAGGGAAAGAAAAAAATAAAAACAAAACTCCCTGTGCTGAGTAGCTGAGATTAGGGTTTCTCTGTTACAGTAGTTAGCATTCTGAGCACTGAAGAGATCATTCAACAGCCCTGTGATCACAAAGCTAAAGAGGGACAAAGCTAGGTGTTACTCCCAAAGATATGGAGCCTGCACCCTGACATTTAGAAAATACAACCTACTTCTCCCCAAGTAATGGGGGAGAGTGTAACTAGGTGGGAGGGCAGGTCAGAGAGCTCCATGGCCACGCAGGCCCCTGGGAAGGTTACAACAAGAGGCTTCCCAGTGGTCCCACTGGTCCGCAGGATGCAGTGACCCTCCACCCCAACCTGCTGGCTATTGGTCACCCACTTGTACAGGAACTTTAGGAGAGGCCTCTCTTCCCCATGCATAGATCTTGCTTATTCTCCAGCAGGTGGATCAGTTCTGGTTTGGGAACAGGATACCCTGACCATAGAAACAAAGGACAGCAGTGTTTGGGAAAGACACCAATGAACCTCTCTATTCAGTGTGATATTCAAGGATGAGATCTTGGAACGAGGCTGCTCCCATGCCTGCAAAGAAAATGCTGACCTGTCACCTAGAAACCAAGAACACAAACACCATCCTGGGACCAAAGGTCTGTAGAGGGTAGTGATGGCTGTCTACCTAACACCCATTACCCTTGATTTCCACCCCACAGGATCCAATTCAGGGCCACTCTTCCCTTAACACACAACCCGGGGACTCCAGGAAGGTGACACCCTCACCCCAGAAGCTATTTTCTCATTAACCTAAGTCAGTGTCTCAACCTCCCTGGGCATCAGAACCACCTGGGGTTGCCTGGTTTTCACCATGAGCCAAATGGAACCAAATCTCTGCAGAAGAAGCCTGGACACAAATGCTTTAAAAGCTCTCCAAGTGATTCAGGTGCCCAGGGAAGACTGAAAAGCACTGGTCTAAATCAACTGATACTTGACTGACCTCTTTCTGTTTTATTTGGGAAATGCTGGGTGTTCTGCTATTCTGGAGCTATGATCTGTGATGGTGCAAAGTGAGGCAAAGGGAATCTGTATAAACCAGGGGCCATCTGCATCAACAGTCTCAGGACAGAAATTAATCCTTGTGCTATGAATCTCACAAACAGGATGTTGAGTGAAAGATCCTGGACACAAAGCAGTGCACACTGTGTGATTCCATTCATATAATGTTCAAGAACGAGCCAATCCAATATTTGGGGTTGGAGACCAGCAGTGGTGTCTTTAGGAGAAAACTGACTGGGAGACAGTGGGGAACACCTGCTCTGAAGGAGAGAATGCTCCAAAGCTTGATCCAGGTGGAAGTCACATGAGCGGGTACACCGTAAAATGCACACATTGAGCTGGACACTGAAGACTGTACATTTTACTGAATGTAAGTTATACCTCAAATAAACAAGCATATTCAAATAATAACTCATCCTAAAAATGATCATAGTTGTCTTTGGACAGAAGCTTCCTAGACGGGAGAGAGCTTGGTTCAGAGTGAGCAAAAGACATTGTGGGAATTAAATTACTGGAGCAGCAAGAGTCATTCTAGGATGAGGGCCTGACATGGGGAGTGAGTGCTCAGGGGACATTAGCTGTAAGCTGCTTTTTAAAAAAGTTGACCCACATTTTGTTTACTTAAATTGATTTCTTCAGAAAGGGAATCTTGTATCACTTATAAATGGTATAACTAGTTTCAGGTTTCACAAATAGGCTACCATCAAAATACAACAATGAAAACAAAACAGAATAATGCTCTAAGTCCCTGCAAGCTTATGTGTCCTGACCTGCACTGTGAGTCAGGGGCTGCTCCTTCTGTTGAAAAGGAAAATTAGCCAAAGTTAGAAGAGGCATCAAAGATTTCCCATTAAACTAAGACTCTCCTGACAACAATCAGAAGGCAGGAAAGAGAAGGGGAAAAGGAATGGCTTTCTCAGATATCCATCAATGCCGGCTGGTAAGTCTGCATACCCTCTAACATCATCTCCTGTATCAGCAGAAGATTCTGGCCCAGGCTTTCAGAAGCAAGGAATGACATGTAAGAATCAAGGGAAAAAGAAGCCTTTAAGCTGAGGCTGTGTAGTTTCAATGTTGCTGGGTGGCCTGCTTGACTTTTAGAGAATGGCCACTCATCTCCAGCCCCTGCTCCCTGGGTAATGGAGACACCTAACCTAACAAACCTTGACCATTTAGCTTTGCTCTGGTGAGACTCTGGAATCAGGGCCTCAGACCGAGGCTAGCCTGTGCTGGGTATCAGAGTGCATGGGCTTGGTTTAGTTCTTGATTTCAGTTCCTGTTTTTTGGCTCCTCATGGTGCCTGGATGAACACAGGGAGACCAGGAAAGAAGTGAGGCAGGAACACAGCAGGAGTTATGAGTGAAAGGGAGGGTGACTCCAGAGGCCTTGTCTACCAGTCAGGCCTGAAGTGAGAGGGTAAAATGAAGAAAGAGGGTGCAGGTTCGCCACATAGGAGGGAGGTGAGCCTTACCTAGTGAGACCAGGAGCCCACAGGTCTCCAGCATTACTTCCCGATATAGGGTCTTCTGAGCCATATCCAACTGCCCCCACTCCTCCCAAGTGAAGGTCATGGCCAAATACTTGAAGGTCATCGATACCTGGAAAGTCAAACGGAGACAGCCACATTGACCTTGGCACTGTTGGATGAGACCAGAGCCTATTGCCTGGTTACTGCTAAAGATGCAAAGAGAACCAAGACCTTAATCACCAAGCACACCTAGTGAACAAAAAAAGCTCTGTGCTGTGCTCGATGTGGAGGAAGATGCTGCCTTTGGACATAAGGCAGTTGCATCAGAGAGAGAGAAGCAGTCAATGTGGGAAACCATTGGAGGACACAAAGTCAGGACCAGTCCACAGGACTGTAAGGTGCAGACAGTAAGTGCTCTGGAGTGTCAAAGAATGGGAAAATGTGACAAAAATTTCAACAAAAATGGCAGCAGCAGCTGAGCCTCACTAGTTCTTACTATGTCAGCACCATGCTGAGGGCTTCATGTGCTGTGTTGAAGTGTCTAAACTTCCAGGTCTTCACTGAAGACTCCCAGCCTTTAGTCCAGTCTCTAGAAACAAAACCTTGCCAGGTGCATGACCTTGGGGAAAACACTTCATTTCTTTGAGCCTCAACTTCCCTATAGATATAGTAATAGTTCCCACTTCACCAGGTTGTTGTGAGAATTATAGAGAAAATGTTGCAAAAGCAAACACTGGAGTGAATGGCTTATGTAAGGACTCAGTGTGTTTGTGTGTGTGCGTGCATGCATGTGTATGTGTGCGTGTATGTGTGTGTGTTTAGAGTTTGGAAGTCTCTTTCTTTCTTTCTTTTGGTAATTAGTAGACTGTATTTTTCAGAACAGTATCAGATTTACAAAAAATGTCAGCAGAATATAAAAAAAAAACAATCAAAACATGGGCAGAAAACCTAAATAGACATTTCTCCAAAGAAGACCAACAAGCATATGAAAACATGCTCAACATCACTAATTGTTAGAGAAACGCAGATCAAAACTACAATGAGATAATCATCTCACACTAGTCAGAATGGCCATGATTAAAAAGTCCACAAACGATAAATGCTGGAGAGTGTGGAGAAAAAGGAACCCTCCTAAACTGTCAGTGGGAATGTAAATTGGTGCAGCCACAGTGGAAGACAGTATGGAGATTCCTCAAAAAACTAAGAACAGACTTACTATATGATCCAGCAATCCCACTCCTGGGCATATATCCAGAGGAAAATATAATTTGAAAAGACACATGTACCTCAAAGTTCACGGCAGCACTATTTACAATAGCCAAGACATGGAAACAACCCAAATGTTCAGCAACAGATGACTGGATAAAGATGACGTGGTATATATACACAGTAGAATACTACTCAGCCATAAAAAAGAATAAAATAGTGCTATTTGCAGCAACATGGATGGTTCTAGAGATTGTCATTCTATGTGAAGCAGGTCAGAAAGAGACAGAAAAATACCATATATCACTTTTATGTGGAATCTAAAAAAAAGGACACAAATGAACTTATCTACAAAACAGAAACAGACTCACAGACATACAGAACAAACTTATGGTTACCACGGGGTAAAGGGGGTGGGAAGGGATAAACTGAGAATTTGAAATTCACACCTCTTGGGGAGTAATGGAAACGTTAGCTATCTTGGTTGTGGTGGTGGTTTCATGGGTATATACGTCTATCAAAGTTCATCAAATTGTACATCTGAAATATGTGTAGTTTACTGTACAGGAATCATACCATAATAAAAGTGTTTTAAAAGTCAGCAGATAATAGAGAGTTCCCATATTTACCACCTCCTTGCCCAGCTTCCCCTATTATTAACATCTTACATTAGTAAGGTGCATTTGTAACAATTAATGAACCAATATTGATATATTATTATTAACTAAAGCCCATAGCTAATTCTGATTACCTTAATACTTAACTAATGACATTTTTCTGTTCTAGAACCCCATCCAGGATACCACACTGCATTATTTATGCCTCCTTAGACTCCTCTTGCCTGTGACGATTTCTCAGACTGCTTGTTTTTGGTGAGCTTGACAGTTTGTTTTGAGGAGTATTGGTCAGGTATATTGTAGGATGCTCCTCTACTGGAACTTAACTGTTATTCTCATGATTATGGGTTTTCTTCTCATGGGGTTGTGGGTTTAGGGGAGGAAGATCACAGAAGTAGAATGCCATTTTTATCACATCATAAGAAGGGGACATACTATCTACGTGATTTATGACTGCCTGTTGATTCTGACTTTGATTACTTGGTTGAAGTAGTTTTTGTCAGGGTTCTCCACTGTGGTTACTCTTTTCCCCACTGTCTGTATTCTACTCTTTGAAAGTCACTACGCACAGCCCACTCTTAAGGAGTGGGGGGTTATGCTCCCTCTCCTTTAGGGTTGAGTATCTACTAATTTATTTGGAATTCTTCATCTCAGGAGATTTGCCTTTTATTTCCCATTCACTGACTTATTCAATAATCTATTTATATCAGTGGGTATTCATATACTTTTGTACTTTGTTATAATCATATATATAGTTACATATATATATAGTTACATATATATAGTTACATATATATACATATAGTTACATCTATCTATCTATCTATCTATCTATCTATCTATCTATCTATCTATCTATCTATCTATCTTTCAGTTAGTTCCTGTGTCTCTTTGACATGCTCCCATTATTGTGTGGGGTTTTTTTTGGAGTCTTTCCCCACTTTCTGGCATTAAAGATGCTCCATGCGTATTGCCCCAGTCCTAGACTCAGCCATTTCTCCAAGGAGCTTGATTCATTTTATTAGAGAATTATATTAGAGTTAAGATCTGAGCACTAGGTGTGCTCACTGCTACAGTGGTGTCACTGCTTTTAAGCCCTCCTTGGCTAACAAAACAAAGAAATATATGTATATATACTAATCCATGTATATACCATCCATATCTATATTCAACATGAGTTCTTACTGATGTCTCCACTCTAATCCAATACAACATGGATCATTCTAGTCTCCTTCCTTTGCTTATCTGTAAATTCCTGCTCCAACAGTAAGACACTGGGGTTCTACCATCCACCATCCATTTACTTAGTGGTTCAATTCCAGTATACATGTAAAGCAGTATTAGAATTGTTAACCTGTACTCCCGTAGGAACAACTTTATTAACTAAAGTGCATATTTGCAGTTCATTTTGCCTTCAGTCTTACAGATCCCATTCATTTTCAAGTTTACTTAGGTCAGCACCTTTTCCCCATTCCCTCTGTAATGTTGTTTCATACATTCATGATACAGTTAGATTCTCTGGCTGCAGTATGCATTATTTTCTGGGATCCCTCTGTTTCCTAAATTGTTATTTTAATTTGCACACATTAAGGTTCACTCTTTGTGTTACACAGTTCCATAAGTCTTGACAAATATATAGCAGTATCATAGAGAATAGTTTCACAGCCATAAAAATCCCCTGAGCTTTACATATCCATCCCTCCGAGCTTCCCCCTCTCCCCCTGACAACCAAAGATTTTACAGCATCTATAGTTTTGCCTTTTACCAAATGTCACATAATTAGAATCATGCAATTGCCTTTTCATATTGCTTCTTTCACTTAGCAATCTTCATATAAGAATATACATAAAGAGAAGAATTTAATGAGTCCCCAGGTACATGTCACTCAGTTTTAACATTTATTCTAATTTTTGTCACTCTTGTTTCATCTGTCCCCTCCTATTTTCCCCTGGTTTGAGTAGTTTAAAGAAAATCCTATAATTACTTCAGTATGCATCTCCCACAGATAAGAACATTTAAAAAATATAACCACAATGCCATTATCATACCCAATTTTTTTTAAAAAAAGATTCCTTAAAATACTCAGTCCATACTTAAAATTTCCTGATTATACCAAAGCTGGCTTTTTTTTATTGTTGGTTTGTTCAGTTCATCATCCAAACAAATCCAAACATCACATTTAACTGTTATGCCTCTTAAATCCACCCCTTCTCTTTTAGAGAAAGGAGACAAATCTGTTGTCATCACAAATGAAATGTTGGGCAATGGAATAAACTCTTGCATCAAGCTCATTTTGGTGTTGGCTACAAATACAAACAGCAAAAGATTTTTTCAGAGAGCCCAAGAGAGAATAGATGTTGATTAGAATGAAACTGTAGCAAAGCAAGCAGAATTTTGTTTTGTTTTGTCCTCATGTTGCATTCGTATTTCATCATATCCACTTAGCACTACAACCTGTGCAGAAAATAATCTATGCAAATAGCTTGGTCTACAGAAGTCATGCTTGAATTGTGGTTCTGGGCCAAAAGCATCAGCACAACATAGGAACTTTTTAGAAATGCAACTTCTTGGGCTCAATGAATCAAAGACTCTGACAATGGGGCCCAGCAACCTCTATGTTAACAAGCCCTCCAGGTGATTCTTTTTTAAAAAATAAGTTTCAGGTGTACAACATTATAATCCAACATCTGTATACACTGCAAAGTGATCGCAACCACAAGCCTAGTTACCATCCGTCTCCATAGAGCTGATCACTTTCACTCATTTCGCCTGCTCCCATCCCCCTTTCCTTCTAGTAACCACTAATCTGATCTCCGCATCTATGAGTTTGTTTTTATTTGTTTTTTAGAGTCCATATATGAGTGAAATCAAACAGTATATCTGATAAGGGGTTAATATCCAAAATATGTAAAGAACTCATACAATTCAACAACAAACCCCCCCCCCAAACAATCCAATTTTAAAAATGGGCAGAGGATCTGAATATTCTTCCAAAAAAGACATACAGATGGCCAACAGGTACATGAAAAGATGTTCAATATCATTAATAATTAGGAAAATGCAAATCAAAACCACACTGAGATATAACCTCACACCTGTTAGAATGGCTATTATTGAAAAGACAAAAAACAAAAAACACCCAAAAAAACAAATGTTAGAGAAAAGGGAACGCTTGTACACTGTTGGTGGGACTGTAAATTTGTGCAGCCACCATGAAAACTGTATGCAGATTGCTCTTAAAAACAGAGCTATATGACCCAGCTATTTCACTTCTGGGTATTTATCTGAAAAACACAAAACACCAATT